AGGGGGAAAGGTAAGTAACTTGTTCTTTAATTCTTTTTTTCTAGACAAAAAAGCATATTTCTTTCGAGGCTCACAAAAGTAGGATGATTGCTTTCAGGAAAAAGAGTTACGTGTATTTTGTGAACTACGTGCCCTGACATAATTTCAGGACATAATTTCTTAGCTGTCAAGAAGTTGAAAACCCTTCATGCGCTCGGAATCTTCTGCAGGCAGACTTCTTTGTCTTCCCTGATTTGATTCCAGATGTCAGAAAAGTAATTTGTGCTGTTGGCAGCTTCTTGTGCTGTCTGTACCGGTGTGGATTGTTTTTTTTTTGTTTGCTCTGTTTTGTTTTTCTTCTGAGCAACACACAGAGCAACTATGGAAGGAAAAAAAACCCACCCACCAGACAACTGAACAACCCCACTCTTGTTTCGATAAGACCAGAAGTAAAATCCCCATAACAGGAACTTGTGCGTTCTCTGTTGAAATATCCTGCCGTGCAAAATGGCAGCAGATCAACAGACAGGAAACACATTAGTGTTCGCTTGGCATAAGGAACAAATTCATTTAAAATTCTTTGAATTTGGAATTTCAGTCTTTATGTTTGTATTTTTGGTCTTGGTGTTTCCTATAGTGTGTCACAGCTGTGTCAGGCAAAGGGTGAAAGAGTTAGAACAGGGAGTAACACAGAAAGTACTTAAAAAGTATTTTGCAGGTAATAAATACACAATGATGAAGAAAAAGATGTTATCTTCATTGATATTATTAGAATGGCATCTTCTTCAGATGTTCTGTGCAATTCTTTGCCATGTTCCTGAAAGGTAGAGGTGAATTACCCTTCTCCTTACCAGTTTGGTACGAAGACCCTGAGTCATAGCCAGAAACAGGTTTTATGTCCCCATTAGGACCTGAGTAGAGTTAGGGAATCTTAACCCTAAACTGTTATCTTGCATATTTTACGCATAGCTGCTTCTCTATTCCAAAGGCTCAGTTGATGCCTTATGTTTTGGTCTGCAAGTTCGTCAGACTTCTAAAGATATTCAAACTCCTCTTCATGTTTAGAGTTTTCTCAGCTTTTTTGCCATTTCTTCTCTTCCAAAGCAGCTGTACACTGATCATTTAGATGCCATTTTCTGTTAACAAAGTTTCCAGAAGGATGCTTGGGGTTTGTAATTTGAATTTCAGACTTTGCGGAGGCAGAGATTGTAGCAATCAGAGTGACTCAAGGATATGCCTGGAGTGACAAACTTTTCCATAGAAAGTTCTAAAAATTGTCAAGTGAAACTAGATTATTTAGTTTTTTAAATGTAAATAAAAACATCCTCCCTTTTATCTTTCCTCCTCATCTTTTAAATTTAGCCTGCTCTTTGTAGTACCCAGCCAACTTGCTCCTCTGACATGTTTTATAGAGATCTCTTGAAAGAGAAGTCAGCAAGAGTCTAGCTGGCAGAGAGTGCCAGGGGCCGCATATCTCCATCTGCAGTGCTGCAAGGGTGTGAATCCCTGTATTATACGAATGTAAGTAGAATGCTACTAGCACAAGATGAAAAGTTAGAAAATTATGTTTAAACCATATGGCTTTGCTATTACTTGAGAAGACTAAAGACTGAAGTTAAGGGAAACTCCAGAATCTACCTGAAAAGTTTTAAGAAAATTGAGGACCTCTGTCTAGGTGACAAAGGCCTGGAATCGTGGAGTGCACAGAAATTCGTGTTATTCTCTATGCTTGATGTTGTGCTAAAAAACATCTACAGTAATGTAGATGAATCTGGAAGTAACCTCAGCAAGACATGAAGTATACTCCAGGAGGCAAATATGAATCACAATTTACTGATGTGTGCGTGGTTAATAAAATAGCACTAAGTTTGAGCATAGGAATCATGGACCCAATTGATTGCTACAGTTCTTTTCACAGTCCAGCAGCAGGGGTTATTCAGCTGTGCCCTTGTAATTTGAAATGCTTTGCTCCTTCATGTAATGCCATGCTCAGTAATGAGTCTGGACTTCAACTTAAAGTCATGGTAGAATTTTTATAAACCATTCAGTGTTATTTCAGAGGAGTTTCTGACTTGTTTTTGTGTGTCCGGGTCTTTACTGAATTGTAAATTGGCTGAGATGTCCATTTAATTGTTCTTTCATTTTTTTTACAGGTTTGTTTTTTTCTATGGCTAGTAAGTTTCTGTGGTGTATTTTCAAAAGGGTCTCTAAACTTCTTTTCTGTTAGCTTAGCAGCTGTCAGCTCCCGAGTAGTTCCTGGGCATCCGTATATATTTTCCTTTTAAAGTCTGTGATTTCTTTGTTGGGGTCCTCCTTAAAGCTGTGTCTACAAATGACTTGCTTTTGGTTGATCAGTTTTTGAAGAAGAACTGTTTTTAGTTGTTCTCAGTTGTTGTTCAAATAATTCTGACGTCTTTTGAGTAGTCATCTCTCTGTCAGACCTCCTGTGTATTCATACAAGTTCAGAGACTTGACTTTTCCATAGACACAGTGCTGGATTAAAGTTATTTAACACTGTGACAAAAGCAGTTACTTCTCCATTCTCCTGCCGGATGACAGCCATCTGTTCTCTCTAGCGAAGTCCCAGAGTAGAGTTGTTGCGTGTGTGTGTGGAGTTAGTGGTGTCTGTTGGAAGGGACAGGGAGTTGGTAATGGCGTTGGTAATGGCGTTTTCATTGTGGAAACCTGGGCTTCATTGTTGCTTTGCATTACTCACTCTGCAGCAGGTGAAGTCCACCAAGGAGGGTCTTGGTGGGAGGTGGATAGAAGTAGGCAGCTCCATGCCTGCCTGCACTCCCCTGGATTCTCTTACATCACTCCTCTTGAAAATGTGAGATTATTCCAGTTAATTTGAGATATGTGTGGCTTCGTAGTGTTCATGTAAGTGCTCTGAAAGATTCAGATGATTGCATCTGTTGATTTGTGGGGCATAATGTTATGAGTTTTTCAGGAAGCAAATGTGCATTGATAGGGATGACAAGTGGCAAATCTTTAGAAATGACTGGCATCATGACTACACTACTTCAGCAACATGGGTACAGAAACCATATACGGACTTGTGCAAAGTTGCTGGAAGGGGCTGAATTTGCCCTAGGTCTCCCTGCCTTAATTAGTGACTTGTATCTGGATTCTGCAAGAGTTTGGATTTTCCTGGATTCAGTTTCTGATCTCTGCAGATGTGGGATCTGGGACAGTGCTGCTTGGATAACTTGTTTATTGCAGCTGATATATACTGTTTTTGACCTCATGACTCTTGGCTAGTGTATTGAATCATTTGAGAATAACTAATGCGTCAGCTCCCAGATCGTTCTCAAGTTTCGCCTTCAGCCAACTGAATATTCACCTTCCTTCACAGTTACAGGAAATGAAGATCTCCTGGGATAACATGAGTGCGGATGAGCAGTATGTTTGGTCTATGGGGAAATAATGTGAACAAAGAGAGATTACAGATAGTAAAAACAGACACGCGTTTCAGAGGTAGTTCTTGTGATATTCCCCCCCCATCTCAATTTTGAAGTGTATTGAATATTGTTGGCTGGTTTATTGTAAACTTTCAAAAATTAATGAAGAGTCATGCAGTAAATCAGGCTTTCACTGTATGTGGGATTGGCTGTACACTGTGCAGGCAATGTGCACAGCAAATTTGCCATAACCCCTGTGGATATTCATAGCAAGGAAAGATATAAAGAGCTGTCATCCATCAACAGTTAACTGCTGCAAATGAGTTAATGCAATCTTTTGCCATCAATAAAACATTAGAAAGAAAGCATGAATAGTCAGGGCAAAAGAGGAGTTAAAGAAGGAGAAAATCCACATTGCTGTAGAGAGTGATATGAAACATACAATATGCTGGCAGTGATCCAAACTTAATTCTGTTTATGTCCTGGATAACTAGGTTTGTCTCTTCAGTAATAAAAATGTGTAATGCCAGTTACATAGTTCTGTTCACAAGAGAAAGGATCACTGCTTGGAATAAAAATGTTTTAACTCCCAGCAGAGAGATAAAAAAGGGGTGCTGTGACTGCTGTCCTTCCATATATGCGTTATTTATTGCCTTTCTTACAGAATTTGCACCATGCCAGAATTTAGATGAGTTTGTGTACCGCGTACAATGCACAGTGACTTGAAACGAAATGGTTATGAATCACATGACATTTGTGCACTTATGGTGCCAGTTCTTAATGGCTGAAGAATATGCATGTCTGTGTGAATAATTACCAATGTAAGATTTTAGTCTCCAGTGTGTAGATACTTTCAGAATGTACCAAGTCTTTGTAATGGAATAAATTCATAAAAATGAATTCTATCCTTTGTACCTGAAATGTGATTTATTTCTTTTGGAATGACTTACTGTACATCTTTTCTTCTTGCTGTTTCCAATTCTTGAATGTGAAATATAATAAGAACTTACTCTTTTGCTGTTTCATTAGTGGTGTTACTAAATTCTCATTTGATCTCCAAGAATGAGGCTCTTGGGGAGGAAAGACCGAACATTTTCATTAAGCAAAACCAGGTGCGGCTGTCTGTTGTTTAAACCAATTTAATTTACAGTAGGTTTGATTATTAGTACATCAGAAATCTTAACGTGTGGTTACTGTGGTAAAAGTTACATTTCATAATAGAATGTCCCGAGTAGTTTTAATTTAGAAATTAGTGGCTTATTTTTGCTTGTCTTGTAGTGAATTTGTAAAGTGCTAGAGCAAGAATTTGAAAATGGCTCATTTTGCTCTTGCTTGATTACATTGTATGTCTAGGGTAGAATGTTCAGTTTCTCAGCCTCTTTAACGTTTCAGTATTTAGTTCTTTCTAACACTATATAGATAGGGTTTTATATCATCTTAGGATAACAGGACTACTAAATACTTTATAAATAAAATACTTGGTTTAGATTCTGAATAATATACTGATGTGGCTTTATATCCAAAGCATAAGAAATTTGGGAAACAAATTATAAGCATAAAATGCCAAAAGCTGAAGTCTTCCTGAAATAACCTTTTCCTTATTTCTTTTGTTTCATGCAGGCTTTCCTTCACCGAATGATCCAATGTGCTGCAGCCAAAGTAGATAAAAATGTCACAGAAGAGACAGTTAAGGTTAGTTTCATAATTGCATATTTCTTCTGTTTTTCTATCTGATGTTTTATTTATGTGTGTTTTATTCTTTTGCAGACGTTGTTTTCAAATATTGAAGATATTCTTGCAGTTCACAAAAACTTCCTTTCCCTGGTGGAGGAGTGCTTACAGCCAGAACCTAATGCACAGCATGAAGTTGGAACCTGCTTTCTTCATTATGTAGGCCATCTTCTATTACAGTCTTATTTCACTTTTTTCCTTTATTAGTTGTCTTTATTAATTACATTGTGATGAGTTGTACCCAGTCATGATGACAAAATATTATTTGATTGCATAGTTTAAAAAAAGGAGGGGGAAGGAGAATGAAGGAAGTATAAAATGGGAAGAATTTTATTGTATCATCATCTGTATATTCACCAAATTAGCCCAAGCTGCCAAACAGCCCTGCAGCGTGGGCAAGGCTAGTGCCTGTGCATGGGTTAGAGGTACAAGGACCACGGCTGCATGAAACAGCAAAAGTAATGATACGCTTTTTTTTTTTTTTATTCCCCTTTGATGCTAGGCAAAAATGTGAATGTCTAACAAAGAACTGCATACGCTGGGTAAAATATCTCCATGGTTCTGGACTGTGAAGTTATTTTACTTCTGACAACTGCAGTACCTCCATAAGTATGTTTGTATGTCCTGTAGAAATTGTTTTCTCTCAGTATTATTTTTCCTGTTGGAGCAAAACAGGATGTCAGTGTTAAAGAGCTCTGCAAAATCAGGACAATTTAGTTTGCTTTCAGTTATAGGCCTAGCAAAAAGTCTAGGTTTAATTGTTACCTCTGGTTAGAGTCCCATTTGTTTGCCAAGTCTTTGTTTATTTGTTGTGGGAGGAGAAAATGATTAATGGTTTGTGGAAACTTATTACAGAAGTTGAGTAACATCAGTTTTTGACTGGAAAAGTATGGCTCGCATTTGCAAACATGTTTGCAGACAAATAGGTAATGATACCAGCAAATAAGCCACTCTCTCTATTTTCTCCCTGGGTTTCTCCTTTTCACAAGGAGTCACATGGAAGACGTGAGTCGTGATGGTACAAGGTAATCCTGGGGAGATTACGGTTTGACACAAGAGGAAAACTTTTCACGATGAGAACAATCAGCCATTGGAATAATCTCCCCAGGGAAGCAGCAGATTCCCCAGCATTGGACGCTTTATGATTTGGCTGGGCAGGGTGCTGGGCCATCTTGTCTAGACGGTGCTTTTGCCAAGAAAGGTTGGACCAAATGGTCCCTGAGGTCCCTTTCAACCTGGTGTTCTATGACTGAAATTCCCAAGTGATGCTTCCAGACTGTTCATAATTCTAGTTTGAGACTGGATGTCAAATAATAAATGTAGAACAAAGAGCTGACCTTCCAAAGTGAAGACTATATTAGCTATTCATCTTGTTCATGTTTCATTAATTAAAAAAAGTCTCAAAATGGCAAGTGAAGAACAATGTATTTCTTTGTTTCTGCAGAAAGAAAAATTCCGTATTTATGATGAATATTGCAGTAATCATGAGAAGGCGCAGAAAGTTCTCCTTGACCTTAACAAAATAAGAACAGTGCGGACCTTTCTTTTGGTAAATAAACTTTCAACTGTTGATTAACTTAGTACTTTGTGACTGGGCAGTGGATTGTTACTGCTGTCACCTCCACCATGTAACAAGCACACCCGCAAGTGGTTTGCAGACAGTTTCAGTTGGGGGTGGTGTTTCCAGAGGAAGGGGTTGTGTACATCATATTTTCACTGCTGCATTGGATCTGTGCATAACAAAGCATTAGGCAGTGTGCCTTGAACTTGCTGGCCAAGAGACAAGTGTGTAAATCCAGCTGTGTCTGTAAAAAGCAAAAAAAAAAAGATAGATGAAGAGGGATAGGGAAGGAAATTGTGGAAAAGAAGCTGAAGGACTCAGCAGAACTTCTGAAGAGAAGGTCCATTTTCTGGTACTGTAACACCACTGCCAGGCAGAAAAGTGTTTCATAGAGTAAACATCCTGAGCTTAGATGCTGACTTAATCTGAGGTCAATATAGACAGCAGCACAATTAGTTTTTCACTTTATAAAACAAATAGGGAGGCCTTTTTAATTGCGAGTATGACAGTCCTCATGATTTTCTTACAGCAAAACCAGTTTCTGTGTAAATACTGAGTTTCCTAATAGTTAACATTAGTTGTTAAAAGAAGGATTCAGGGTGGAATGATTTTTGTGTTTTTTTCTTCCCGATGTCCTGTGATAACAAAGTCAGCTTTGTAATGCCCACATTATTCCTGCTATATTGGAACTTAAATACCTGAGGTGGTGCCCATGGATAAGATACCAGATTCATAGTAATCAGATCCAGTTCTTGCATTTTGGGACTGGAGAGCAAAGCATCACAGATATGGTGGAAGAAAAAGGTGATGGCCAGTGGTGGCAGTATCACAAGTTTTACTTAATTTCATTTCTTTTTAGCATGCAGTAGGCTTTCACTGCTGCTGACAGAGTTCTTGGTGAAGTCAACCTGTTGCAGGTCACTGCATTTTTTGAAAGATACTGGATCTGAGTCCCTAGCTGCCTTTACTGACACCCAAATTAATGAGCAGCGTGTGAATTTATTTATTGTAGGAGAGTATGGAGTGACATGAAATGCCATCTGCCTTTTTGCTAAGAGTCTCTTATCAGTGTTCCATTCATAGCTGAAAAGAGATTCAAAGTTGTCCTATTTTTCCTCAGTGGTTGACACAGTATCCTTCACCTTGCCCCAGACTGGGGAGCTTCACACACGTAGTTCTTGTATTTGGAGCAGCATGGCCAGACTCAAGAAGGAGTGAATGCTGCCTACAGAGACATTTGCTACAGAGCAAAATACTCTGGAGAAAGACTGCAAAAAGCGTGTTTTATGAGAAAGGAAGTGAGGTGTGTAGTTGTGGGCAGTTCATGGTGTGTCACTGTTATGTACTCCCGGGCTCACGCACAGGGCTTTCGCATCTGCTTTGGGTTTCTCATAGATTCAAGATATGGCTGTAGAATAAGTGGCATCAGTCTAACCTGGAAAACAGGGGGTCTGACTGTGTGATAACTGTCTGATACAGTTGAAGCTTTCTAGACAGAACAGTTTGGGTCATTAGAGATTGTCATTATTATAAATAATGGGGAGCTGAAACTAGACTTGTGAGCCTTCAGGTATAGAGACAGTGATTATATAAACCTATAGTCTGCATTGTCATTATCTTGCTCAGTCCTTTATCAGTAAAGCTTTTTAGTTGGCAGATTTAAGTGAGATCCTTTGGGATAAAGGATCCTTTAGTATGAGACAGAAGCTGGTTAACTGTGAGTGCAAGGCAGAGATTTAAGGGTGGGTGTAGAGATCCCCGTAGCAGCACTGGTTATGGGGTATGTACGTTGTGAGTTGTACGTTGGGAGCAGCCACCCAGTTTTGTAGCCCCTGTTCTATCAACAACATATCTGCATCCACATTTGTGGCCTGTGTCAACACACCATCTGGCTCTGTTAAATTACTTTTGTTTAGCAGTTGCTGTCTCAGTTTAGACATCTTGCACTTTGAAGCTGTAGATGATATCATACCATTGCATCACAATTCCTTCTTATCTCTCAGTAAAATAGCTTTCATCCTTAGGTCTTTTATGTACTTACACTTTAATTACAGCAATTCCAAATATTTGCGGTGATGTCCCTTGCATGCTTTGTTATGCCAGATACCCCTTATTCTTTTCTCTCTTTCTCTCTGCTGCTTTTTCATGGGTGCTTCCACCATGAATATTTCATGTATTCTCTGCTTCCATAGTTGGGTGTCTTGGGAAAATTTATATATTTTTTTAGCCCATGACTAAGGGCATTTTGTTTGTTGCCCATCACATTTAACTATAGAAGCATGTAAACAGAACACTTTTTTGGTGGGTGTGTATAGGATGGCCAGGTTCAAGCCTTCCAAACCATCTTTGATGCTACTTAATATTACAAACACATCTTTTAGAAGCAACAGCACCTAGAGTAGTCACCCTGAATGATTTTTATTTTTGTTTGTTGAAGTATGAAAGCATATTTTTGGCATTTTATTCACTGTCTTTCATTTTTAAACTTTAAAGCTGGCCTCTCTTTATCAGACTGTATGAAGAAGGTACCTAGGGGAGATGCCTGCCTAAGTCCATTGTGGTTTCTTTGTATGATAGAGTACGTGCCTGCGCATGTGTTCAAGCCTGTTCTTTTGTCAATCTTGCATAACTCCCTTATTACTTACAGCTTAGCCAATATTGCTGTGTACATATGCCCTTGTCTTTATTTCTCATCATTTTCTTGTATTTTTTATTAATTTATGAAACTGTTCTCACTCTAGAATTGCATGCTTCTTGGAGGACGCAAGAACACAGATGTACCGTTGGAGGGATATCTGGTAACACCAATACAGAGAATATGCAAGTATCCCCTTCTTTTGAAGGTATTTCAAGTTTTTTTATCTAGGACTTTAAACTTTCTGTATAAAACTGGTTGCTAAGCATATTTCTGAACAGCAGGAACAATCTCTCTACACAGTGAATAATCTCTTTATTAGATATTGGACCCAGACATGCTCTCATTAAAGCTAGTGGCAGGTCTTCTGTATTAAAAGGAACTGAGGAGTTTGGCTGGGTCAAGGTGATTAGCTTGCTTCTGCAGCTGGTTGTAAAGTTGCCTCTCAATTGTTGGAATAGAAGTGAGTCATTTAAAAGGAGTGTAATGAGACTGATTTCAGCTGGGTTTGACCATGGTCTTGTCTAAAATGCTTGGGCTAGCAGAGTTGTTAGTGACATGCTTTGATGGGTCTAATTTACCGTCAGCAAACTGTAAATGAAAAATATTTATGAAAATTATTTGTAAGAAAGCTCTAGAGTAATGGTGTAGGTGATTCTATGCACATTTCTATGTTTATTCTTTTATTATTGTTACAATTTAAAACCTAAAAATGTTAAATGTGCTGATAATCATTAGATATGAAAAACTGAGTTACCGATTTTTTTTTCCATGTTAGGAAACAAAGTAATACAATTGTCATAACAGTAAATATTTAAAACAATTTTTTGCTTAACAAATGGAGGCTTAATATTGTTTATTGTTTCAAACAGTGAAAGAGAAACCAGAGCAGATTTTGCTCTAGAACCTGCCTGAAACCTGATTACTGAACAGTGTTTTTCACATTGCATGTGTGAGTTTAGATCTGAAACAATGCCAGCTATGAGCCATATGAATTTCATTGCACTGACATAAAAACTTTAAACATGTTCAAAGAAAGGTTTTTAAAACAACTTAAAGAATATGATAATTGCATTGAGGTTTGATTCATCCCAGATATCTGTGGTTTTACAGTTCCCTTGGCCTATTCTAAAATTATATTCTATTTTTTGAATGAAGGATCTGCAGATGAACAGGGGAAAATGACTAATGAATTACTCTAGGGAACAATGAAATGGAAATATTTATGTTAAATAAATTTAAATACAGGGTGTGGTGGCAGCAGCCTTAGGGCTCGTGCCTGTATCTCAGTCAGGGTGTGTGCTGAAGGCTGTCCATAGTCAGTCCAGCTGTAAACAGGCAGTTGGTAGTTTGAGACGGGAAATCTCAAATGAATACTGGCAACTCCACTTCTGTGTTTTAGTGTGGCTGCCATTACCAGTAAGCACCTGAAATCGGTGAATCACCTAAGATATTGTTCAGTGCTCTGGCATATTGCACTAGATTAAACAATAGTGTGAAGCTAAAGGAAGATGGGCTTTACCCAGAGTTGCAGGAGAGGCAAGTGCTAACTTTGACATGAATAAACCAGCATTTTTAAGCAGAATTGTTGTTGTTGAACAGTTCCATCCTGTGGCATATAAAAAAACCCCAAAAGACCAACAACCAAAAAAATCAAACCCCAAACCGAAGCTCAACATGAAGAAACATTGCTGGGGTGAGAAAGTAGCTGAAAGGCAAACTAAGTACTAATTCCAAAGTACTGATTATTTTTGCTGTTAGTAATTTATTTCTTTGAGTTTTAGTGTCCTACTAGAACACAATGCTGGAGGGTTTATTATTTTACCACTTCGTAACATAGAGGTCTGGCTACTTCTTCATTTTTGTATGCTATTCAATTTAAGCCTCCTGTAATGTACATGTAGAGATCAAAGACAGGTTTCTTGTTTTCTTTTTTTTTTTTCTTTTCTTTTTTTTTATATGTCTAAATAGGAGTTACTGAAGCGGACTCCAAGGAAGCACAGTGACTATGCAGCACTAATGGAAGCCCTCCAGGCCATGAAAGCTGTCTGTTCCAACATAAATGAAGCCAAGAGACAAATGGAGAAATTAGAGGTTTTGGAAGAATGGCAGTCTCATGTGGAAGGATGGGAGGTACTGTTGTAGATTTGTTGCTTTGTGTATTGATGAGGGAATAAAAATTTTCAACAAACATATGTCGCACTGGTTTTGTGAGCCTGAGGTACTGTCAGCTCCTCAGTGCTGTGAAACACAGCTTTCATTTGGGTTCTGTTTTGCAAATTCAGTGTTGTCCATGACTGAGCACCACTGTATAAAATAGCAGACTTCCAGGACAGCAGGCAGTGTTTGGTGTTTAACTTGGAATATTGACCTTTTACATTAACATGTTTGTGTGCACACATGCACATCTATAAATCCTAATTTAACTGTTGCCTTGATTTTACTGCTGTCAATTCCTGCCTAAAGCATTTTATGTGGTTGAAAAAAAAACAGCTACTTATTTTGATTAAGCACTAAGTCCGTGTTTGTCAGCTTGTAGATAGTTCTTTACTGTTGGCCAAGTTAAACTAACATGTGTTCAAGAGAATGTGTGTAAGACTTGGTTTTGGTTTAATTATTTCAGTTTTCAAGTGGAAGAAATTTAATGCTTTAGTTCTGTGAAGAAACCATAGGTCTATTTCTGAGTTAGTGTTTTCAGTAGTATCCAGAAGAGCCACCATTTCCCTTAGGCAACTTCAAGATCAAGTAGTTGTAGCACCAGAATCTGCCTGTTGTATTATTTTGAGCACTATTATTAGTTTATACAGAAAGATAAATGTGGATCATATAATGGAATCATATAATGTTTTGGTTTGGAAAGGACCTTAAGATCATCTAGTTCCAACCCACGTGCCGTGGGAGCGACAACTCATACTAAACTATGTCACCCAAGGCTCTGTCCAGCTTGGCCTTGAACACCTCCAGGGATGGAGCCTTCACAGCTTCCTTGGGCAGCCCATTCCAGTGCCTCACCACCCTCACAGGAAAGAATTTCTTCCTTATATCCAATCTAAGCTTCTGCTGTTTTAAGTTTTAATCCATTACCCCTTGTCCTGCCACTACAGTCCCTAATGAAGAGTCCCTCCCCAGCATCCCTATAGGCCCCCTTTAGATACTGGAAGGCTACTATGAGGTCTCCACGCAGCCTTCTCTTCTCCAGGCTGAACAGCCCCAACTTTCTCAGCCTGTCTTCATATGGGAGGTGCTCCAGTCCCCTGATCATCCTCGTGGCCCTCCTCTGGACTTGTTCCAACAGTTCCATGTCCTTTTATGTTGAGGACACCAGAACTGCACACAACACTCCAAGTGAGGTCTCATGAGAGCAGAGTAGAGGGGCAGGATCACCTCCTTCGACCTGCTGGTCACGCTCCTTTTGATGGAGCCCAGGATATGGTTGGCTTTCTGGGTTGCGAGTGCACACTGAAGCCGGCTCATGTTCATTTTCTCATCAACCAACACCAACAAGTCCTATTTGTATATATTTGATTTGCCTTAGGTGTTTTGTATTGAAACATCTTAGCTGCCCACACTGAGGTGGGAGTGAAGTTCATATATAAGAAATGCAAAGCAAGCAATGTAAGTAATTTTTTAATAAGTCAGTTTTGAACGTAATACACAGGACTACTTAAATAAAGTAAAACTCTAAACACTGTAATTGAGAGGGGGTCTTGTTGACCTAACACTTTCCAAAAGAACCAAATACCTTAACAGCTGCTTATTTAGACTAGGTGAAAGTAAGTTCCTTTTTTGTTGTTAGCTTGAACTTGCTGTCATCAACAGTTAACTTGGAAAGGTTAGTGTATGTGAACTTTAACATTTGTTAGACATGTTTGTACAATAACTTAATGATAGAAGCAATAGCAGGCATTTGCATTACTAAATTTTATATGGCAAGGAAATTTTAAAATAATACTGTCTATAACTGACTCTACTATTATTTTCAACTTTCAAGTAAGTTTTCTGTTGTGCCGTAGTGATTAAGATTCTTCTACTTGCTTTCAGTGCCTGAGTCTTACAGATATTTCTCAAATTCATATTGATGAGCACACTCAAATATAAAGTTACAGCATTACTATCTCAATGTGTTATTAGTCATATAAGTCGGTTAAGAGCATATCGTTCTCACATTTCTGAAAAGGGAATGCACTTTTCTGCATTCATTTTTTTTCTGAATTCTTAATAAAACACGGAGTAATAAATATGTTTGCTGTTGGAAATATATTAATGAGCAAAAGTAACGATAAGGAAGGGTAACAATATAGACAGAAGTGTATGAAACATAGATTTATGCTCTGTATTCAGAACGTATTCTGTGAACTGTAATACAGTAATTTCCTTCCGACCTTGTTTGTTTGTTTTTTCCTATTTTCTTCCCCAAATTTAATCTTAGGATTTCGCTTCTGCTTGATCTCTGGAAAAGTGCCATTGTCTTAAAATAGAATTTATTCAGTACAGTTATGTTGTGTTTAATGTGGTTTAGCTGATCAGGTTTGATGTTACCACATGGCAACCACAGGGCTGCCCTGATCTTAATACGCGCATCCTTTCTCAAACATACTATATGGTTAGTCCTTGAAATGGTAAAAATCATGTATAAGAGCATGTTTTAGAGCTTTTCTGAATGATTCCCAGCAACAACTGCAAGAAAATCTCTGAATGCAATGTATGAGAGTGGATTTGATTAAATAAACATCTGGTTTTCTGCATTGCCTAAAAATAAAGAGGCAAACTTGTTGGAGATTTCCTTCCAGAAGGAAATGCTTAGCACATTGCTTGGCCCCAACTAGAAGGAAAGGGGAAAAAAAAAAAAAAAGACTATTTTTAGAATCTGATCAAAGCATGACTTGAATTCCTATACATGAGTGTCATAAAATGAAGCTTGTGTTTATTATGATAAAAATACAGATTCATGGAAAAATGGAACATCTGTTTCAAGGAAGAAAATTTTGAGTATAATGACTTTCTCACTTAATTTCCTAAGTGGTTAAATTTATTGGCCTGAATTCAGAACTTGTGTAGGTGGCTGTCTCAGCTGGAGAATGGCTCAACAGCTGAAGGAGTCTGTCAGGAAAATCTGCGTGGATGTTTCAGTGAGGGAATTAAAAAATAAGATTGTTGCATTTGTTGTAAGCTGGAAACTGAACAACCCAGTCTGAGTCACAGGCCAACTTAGTGACAATAGCATGGGGTGTTCTGTTCCTTTCCATTGTGCTATATCATAAAGTAGTATTTTAATGGAGATTTCTGTTTTAAATTCTAGGTGTTTTAGACCTTTTCTCTATTATATTTCTCTTTCCCGTGCCCATGTGCAAGTACTGAAGAGTACATTAATATATGTAATTTCTGACTTTTATCACTGTTAATGTGCTCGCCATTGAGTCAGTATGGTCAGACTTTCATGTTTGACTGATGTGGCCAGAATATGTAGCTAAGTAGCTGTTGTTACAAAATGAAACCAACAAATGCTGCTTTTCATTTCAAGGTAATAAAGGTCATTTTTTGATGTCAAAGATGGGTATTTCATGGCTAAAGGATGAGTGGGGATATTGTTGCAGATTTCTTGCATACAGTCTCTCTCCTTCCAGTGCATTTTAAATGCATTTACTTTGTGATGTAGTCATGGTAGCCCACATTTCAGACCTCTTGCCTGAGCTTTTGCCTTGGTGGAATGATAGGTGACTGAATGGCAGCTGAAGCCAGTTTTACCTAAGTAGCCTGAAGGCTCTGAGATCTTAGGCTTTTAATTTCCACACCAGCTAGCCTGAAAAACTAGAGCCCTTGATCCCAATGCTGTCCACAGTAGAGGACTGCTCTACAGCTAGGTATTTGGAATCTTGCAGTCTTCAGTGACTCATTAGGATAGGGGGAGGAAAATATAGTCTAGATTCATAGTATAAGCCTGGTTTGCAGGTTAGATTCTTCCAACTGAGTCTTTTATATGTTGGGTTTTTTGTTTTGTTTTGGGGTTTTGTTGTTGGATTTTTTATTTTTTTTTAAGATGGTCGAAACAGGTTTCTTTCTATAATACAAGGCATTTTCAAATTGACATATTACAAAAAGGCTGGTTTCACTCATAATACTCCATCAGCTCTAATTGCAGGTACTTTAAATGCATAGAAACATGAATTGTAGCATAGTAGTAGTGATTTTACATTTAGGTTGAGCAACTATATGATCTTCCCTTGCAAGCACTGAGTAAAAAATGTACATGCTTATGAAAACTTTGAAATGGCAAATTGTTTTTCAGGTTCAAATTGCTTATATTTGACATTTCCGTGGTAGTTTCAATACAAACATTTAATGAAAACATGGTTGTGTTAGATGTTTTTGGTAATACTGGTTTCCAAAAGTATTGCTTGTAGATAGTGTAGTTCAATTTTAGCCTTGTGCTTCTGGGACAAGGTGACTTCTCCTCTGTTAGTGTAGCCTTGAACTTTCTACTATGAGAGGGGTGGCTCAGAGTTAGATAAATGAATTATCCTACTGGGCTGGACATCAACTATAGCTTGGTGTAAACCCATGTGGAGGTTCAAGGTGTAGCAATATCTTTCATGAAAACATTAATAGTTGTTAATCCTCCTTGGAACTGCATGATGGATATGGCAGTGTTTGTGTGCCCTCTACCCTATTCTTCTTCGGGCATGTTTTTCATCCCTCAGGAGTTGATAGAGAGGACGTGTACAGACAGCAGTGCTTTCACATGATATGCCCTTCCTCTTTTCTCCTTGCCAGCTCCATGCCCACTCCACCCATGTCTAGGGACAGGCTGAGTCTAACAGTTTTCCATAGGCAAGAGGGTGGCAGGGGACTTTTCTGCGCTACCAGCGTTACGTAGGACTGCCAGATGTGACTTATGATCGTCTTACCTTATACCCTTGGACTTCAGCAAATAAAACAGCAATAACAAAAATCACTGACCTGTGGCCACACCAGCATGGGTTGTGATCTTGTCAAAAAGTATTGAATAAGTGAAGTTAACACTGTTCAGTATTTGGACAGGAGGTCTATGAAGGGAAAAAAGTACCACTAGAATGTTATTTTCATTATCTGGCAGAAGGAAAATAAAGAGGAAAACAATAGCAAAGTGTAGCAATGTGATGCAGATAATACACACTGCTGTATTGTAATGTTGAACTTGAATCATGATTGAGGCGAATCTTGATAATTCGAGTAGCCTGAATTACAGATGTTTGAAATATGTATAAAATATGGTATTTTATGACATGGTGCTGGCACAGTAGCAAATCTGGCATGGGCTGTGGGGAAAAGGTATTTTTCTACAGTGAAAATGAGCACTTCAAATAAAAAGAGTCAACATTTTTTCATAAAACCCTCTCTGTGAAAAAATACACCCTTTTGTAGAAAACTGAAACTGCTGATACAATTTTGAAGCCTTAAGCTGAAGTTTTTTGTCTTCCCTACAAAAGATTACAATTTTCCAGCAAAGCTGAAATTTTCTGTAAAAACAAACTGAAAATCTTTAAAAAATACCCAGCCTTTTAAAATGCAAATCATTAGCAATATTCCAGCTAATTTTAAAAGCAGTGTGTGGTACTGTTTATTCTACTTAATGCACAAAAGCAATAAATGGATGGAATGAAAAAACCTGCTTTTCTGTAGTTGTGGTCAGCAAGCATTAAGTGCAGCTGAAATTTATGCTGAATTTGTTTTACTGAGTAGGCTTTTAAGGTGTTTCAGCGATTGGTCTCAAATAAAACTGTAAAATTAGTATGTCAGCTTCTGGTGCTGTTGCTGTCCTAGGAAGGGAAGTATGATGTATTGGCTATAGATGATGTTCATTTTTGGCTCGTTTGATCCCAAATGGAAACGAGTGGTTAGTTAATACTGACGCTGAAGCTACTCTATTTAGAGACCTGAATGATGTTCCAGTGTGATGGTTCTGCATTTTTTCTTATCATTTCTGTAAACAGACACTGTTCTCCTTAGAGCAGTCTGAGCTATTGCTCAGTATTCAGGGCTGTGACACAAAAGGGATGAATAATAGGATGAAGAGCTGAGAGCAGAACCCGTGATTCCTTCTCGTCTCTTAATTGAGCCTATTTTTCTTTGGGCTACTGTGGTTGGATAAAAAAGAGGAAGTAACTACAGCTATTGCAGGCATAAGTCTTTCAGAACATGTGTAGATGATAGTCCTGGCTTTTACAGGTTTTCCAAGCTGACTGTTGACTGCCTCAAGTTAGGAAACTCTTTGAGCTTAATGTGTATGCTCAATGCAGCCAGCAAGCATGATTATCAATAGGATTGCACAGCTGGACTCATGCAGTGCATGGACAGGAACTTTGTCCCACAGGAGCATGGATTTTCAGAATTGCAAAATACACCTCTTGAGTTCAAGGAAGGCTTCCTTGAGAGGTAAATTTTTCTTTATATGATGTAGAAATACCATGACTTTTCAGAGGAATATTTTTAGAAAATGTAATCCTTTGTTAAAGTTGCTTCTTTTTCATTAACCTATATGAAAATGCCTGCCTTCTTTCAATATGAAAGAATGATCTGCCTTGAATCAAAAATGAGGCATGGGAAGTTTCATCCCAAACAGGTAAAGCTTAGCAAAATTCCAGTGTCTTCAGTATATGTTAGGAAGAGCTACACTAGGCAGTCTTAGTTGTATGTGCCACTGTTAGCTTTGTCTGAGTTTTAGATCTTGGTGTATTTGATTTAGTACTTAGCTTAGCTTAGTGTAGAAGTATATATCTTAATGATATTCAAATTCCATGTGGCTTTGGCTTCCAGGCTCATCTTGGCATAGATCATGTCTTGTAAAGCCCCATTTTCAGATGTTTCTGACTAAATAGTGAAGTTACGGAGGATAAGAATTATTGTATGACGTTGGCTTGATTTTTAAGGGGGAGTCTCACCACCCAGATGTAATTTGGAAACCTTGGTGATTAAACTTAATCCATTCAAAAAAAAGACACGAACCCTCTAGTTTGTGGCAGTCCTAAATGAGTACAAAACTGGTGTTAAGCATCATTAGAAATCACTATTTAATTATAACGTAATAAATTGCCATGAGTTTTATTCTTGGTGTTTCCAGAGAATCATTATGGCTGTGAGTTTATATAGGAAACCCTTAATCAGTGTGGAGTTCTTCAGTTCTCACAGAATAAAAAATAATCTTTTCCCAATTGATTTTAGGGGTCCAACATCACAGATACGTGCACAGAAATGCTACGAAGTGGACTACTATTGAAAATTTCAGCAGGAAATATCCAAGAGAGGATATTTTTTCTTTTTGACAACCTTTTGGTTTACTGCAAAAAAAAGCACAGGTAAATGATTAATTTATGCTTTCAGAAATAATACATTTTTCTCACATTAGAGCTAATCCTCTCTATGTTTTTTCATCAGAATATTTTATTATCACCACAGTGTTTACTGCAGTTAATTGCAATATGAAAATCAGCATTTTTAGAGGAGATTTACCATTCAAAGAGAAGTGTGTTTAATTCAAACATTGGAAAAAAAAAATATACAAATACAGAATCCAAATGGTGAAGTGTGGGGAGAAAGAATCAGTTTTGCCAGTCTTCTGCAACAAATTATATGTGATGGACTCACTCTCTTCTGGGAATGGTAAACAAAATGAATTTTTAGTTCAAACAAATTAGCATTGTAGCTTATGTTATAAAACAAGTCTCTACAGATTCGAGAGTTTCAAGCCTTGTATTTCTAATCAGGGAAAACGGCCAGAAAGCTGCTGCTTCCTGCATTGCAAGAAACAATTCCACGGTGTAGCAACAAGCTTCTGCAGTTACTGTTCAGTGCTCTTGTGCTTCTGAGGAAAAGGGGTTTTCTTTAATACAGGCATCCCTCTTGAAGCTGTTAAGGTTGTCTCTCTGGTCCAGAAGCTGGTTTTGAGTAGCCAGGAATACATATAACTAGATAGATCCTTGATAGATTCCCAGTATGTGATAGACTTTGAGTATTCTCCCTAGTAGCACTGCTGGGTACCATTATCTTTGCCTTTGCTTCTGCACAGTTGTGGATGGTGTCAGAGGAAACTCCACCTTTGACCTCAGTGTCTAGTTTAGGAAACTGTCTGCAGTTGCTGAAACTGTTGCTTCATAAATCCAGGTTCTACTGTCATCACCACAGCCATGTCCATCAGAATAGTGTGAGTGCTTAAGATTTTCCAAGGTAGTTCCAGATTTGATAGCCAACTTTCATCCTGTTTTTCCAGCTGTGTTTTAACAGTGCCCTGGATTATCTGTAGCATCCAGGTAACAGATGTATTTCTCTGCACCTATAATATCCATTTGTTTTGATCAGTGCTGTGGCTTGGCTGTTTTTATGTGCCTGTTAAAGGATAGATCTTGATGGCAGACAGTGGCATACAGGTACCAAAGTGTTGGAACAGAGCTTGTGTAGAGTGAGACTTTCCTCATGTCAGCCAGCAATTTGCTGATTACTCTTACCAGAGGTAGGATCTTTGCATTAGCATCAGCAGTGTCTCGTTCAGCAGTGGTTTCCACAGTTCAACAGCACTTGTATAAATGTATTGTGATTCTTACTGTAGTCTTTAAATGCTGCATGTACAGGTCATAATGCAGAAACATAGAAAAAAGTGGTGACATGCTCATTTGCACTTTCTTTTATCAGGCGATTGAAGAACAGCAAAGCATCTACAGATGGCCACCGTTACCTTTTTCGGGGCAGAATAAACACAGAAGTGATGGAGGTAGAGAATGTAGATGATGGAACAGGTGAGTATATTTGTGTTGCTCATTTACAGATCAGTCTTTCAAGGTGCTGAAATCAAATGCAGCTTCACAATTTCTTTGAGAATGAAGGGTGCTCCCTGTACTTAGAGTAAGATGCCACGTTAAAAGCATTATGTGCTCATATCAAAACTCCAGTTCTGTGACACATCATTGCTTTCATGCATTATTAATTGAGCGGTCATAGATGACTGTTTTACGCTAACATGAACAGAGTACTAAAATAAGGTGACATTTATTGCTCAACTGAAATAGTATATTTAACTTCACTTAACAGCATTCCAACACTTAAAGAAGTAATCCCTAGGTGTGTGATATATTTGTAAAAGTGCATGGAAAAGTTAGCTCTGTTGGAATGAAGCCTCAAGCACTATAAATGCTGAAATTGTAACATAAGAGTTTAAGAAAATGGAAGTATATGCGATGGACTCTTTTTCTGACATACATTAGAAATGTAAAAGCCCAAAGTATTCCTACAAATGTAATTTTTTTTTTTTAGAAACTTGAGTTTAACCTCTGAGCTTAACAATTATTATTTCCTTATAATGAATAAAGAAAACCTGGAAACCTTGGCCTTTTTAATGTAAAACTGAAATTAAAGAAAAAAGGGGAACTTTAAAATTTGCATTGCGAATGTGTCAGTCTGAAGGAAATTTCTATGAGTTAGATATTATTTCTTCTGATTTCAGAAAGCATTAGCTTTGCCCTACCTTTACTGTGGATGCCAAGCATTTCTAAATGTAATTTTCTAAAATGGAGCATTAATGACAAGGATGGCACAGCTTAACTAAGCTTAATAGAAGTCAAATATTTCTTGAAAATCAAGATTTCATTTTTAACTAATCTTGACTTCCTTTCAAAGTTGTCATGGTTTAAACCCAGCCACACAGCTCGTTCACTCACTCCCCCCCTTCCTCCCTCTTTCTTTCCTTCCCCCCCCCCACCTCCCTGCTCCCAGAGGGATGGGGAGGAGAATCGAATACGATGCCACCTGCCGAAACGAGCCCGACCCCCAAAAGAGAGCCCGTGCCCTTCCAGGTAACTCCCAGTTACCTCCCCGAGCATGACGTGCTGTGGTATGGAATACCTCTTTGGCTAGCTTGGGTCAGGTGTCCTGTCTCTGCTTCCTCCTGGCCTCCCCTCCTCCCTGGCAGAGCATGAGGCTCACAAAGTCCTTGGTCAGAGTAAACATTACTGAACAACAATTGAAAACGTCGGTGTTATCAGCTCTATTCCCAGGCTGAAAGTCAAAAACACCAGCTACTAAGGAGAAAAACTGACTGCTACTGCTAAACCCAGGACAAAAATGTTTCCTCACTTCTTGTTTTAGTGAATAGACTTTGAGAGTAGTTTGGCTGTTGTTCTTATTGCAATGAATTAATTTATTGGAAGACTGTTGTGTTTTTCCATCATCTTTTTAAGTCTTTCAGTCTTTTGTCATGGGTTGTGTTTTCTAAGTTTTTATTACTTTTTGTGTCCTTTGGAGTTTCAGGTTGTTTTTTGAATTTTTTATGTTTTTTTTTTCTTTATTTTTTTCCCCAGTTTGTTTGCATCTTTTGCATTTTGAGGTGTCCAGAGCTGAAACTTCACTGGGGCCAAGCAGATCAGGATAATTACTGTAGTGCTGCATGAGGGATATCTATTATTAGTCTCAGGTTTATTTGGCTTTTCTGAGAGCATTATTTTTTTTTTTTAATTTTCAGTTCGTGTTTCAGAATACAATACCAGGTCTTTTTATGCAGTACTGTTGCTTATCCCAATACATCTTACACTGTGTTAATGTCTGGTCCTACTAAAATCATAGAATATCTCAAGTTGGAAAGGACCCATAAGGACCATCAAGTCCAACTCCCTGCTCCTCACAGGACTAAACTATTCCTTACGAATAATTACTTTCTGTACTGAATTTTATCTTCCTATTTCCACAAATTATTAAGCATTCAGAATTCACATCTTGTTCCCCAAATCTCTTTCGATGCTTCGTGTCTTGGTTCCATGAACAATGTTACTACTGAATCATTTCAGCTGTTGATAAAACTAGTGGAAAATGCTGAATGGTAGAGCACTATGGCATCGCACTTCATTCATTCTCCTTGTTTGATAGACATATTTTGTAGGACCTCCTTGACATCTGTTTTGGGGTATGTCCTTTACCAGGCCCACCAATTTAATTAGTGGTTTAGACATATCTATATGTATACCATAATGAACTTCATCAAGCCTTGCTGACTTGAATAGAGTTTATCTAATATTCTATATCTTGCTATTTCCTTTTCTGCCAAATTGTTAGCTTTATTTATATGAAATCTCAGCACTTTGTTTATGCAAAATAGAGCTGAGTGTTTTGGTCTTTCATGTCATGTATTATTTGGCTACCTTTAATTTATTTTGCTTCATCTTCCTTATATATGTTTTAGAAATAACAGACAGCTTTTCCATTTAAAGTTTTTGACTTTCTAAGACAGCATCTCTTGTAATTCTTGATGTTACTGTGACCGCAGTGGTGTATACCCAATATCTTCTTTATGATGAATATTCCAAAAAGGCTGTAGCTTTTTTTTGTTCACTGTCTTAGCCTTCATATCCATGCTTTCAGTGTTGGCTATAGAAGATATTTCTTTCTTCTTCCTTCTAAGACTGTCTTGTCTTGTTTTTCTTCATTTGCTTGTTCTAGCTCTCCAGTTCTTGATCACTTTCACACTGTCCGTTTTCCTTTCTGTCCGTTTCTTTACTTCCTCAGTGAATCTTCAAATATAATTTGCTGTAAACCAGTTGTCTTCCTCTCCACTCCAGACATTTCCTTCAGCCACAGGAAATTTTGCTACTGTGTCCATTTCCTGTAGCCTTGCAAACAGTACTGGAGGCTATCATACTTCCTTCCTGCTTGCTTTCCTGAGCCACATCAGATCTTGTCACTTTTATAAGTGCAACATTTCTGAAATCCGTCCTCCTTTCCACACTTCTGAGACATTAGTTAATGGTTTGCTTATTTTGATTTCTACATTATTAGAGGTGGTAGATGTTCCATCCCTGGAAACATTCAAGGTCAGGTTGGACGGGACTCTGAGCAACCTGATGTGTGTTTGAGGATGTCCCTGCTTGTTGCAGAGGAATTGGACTAGAATCATAGAATAGATAGGATCATCTAGCTTCAACCCACCTGCCATGGGCAGGAATGCTTCACACTAGACTATGTTACCCAAGGCTTTGTCCTGCCTGGGCTTGAACACTGCCAGGGATGGAACATTTACCACTTCTTTGGGCAACCTGTTCCAGTGCCTCACCACCCGCACAGTAAAGAACTTCTTCCTTATATCTAACCTGACTCCCCCTGTTTAAATGATCTTTAAAGATCCATTCCAACTCAAACTATTCTATGTTTATTCTTACCTGCGTTTTTTTTTTTTCCATAGCCCCTCATTTTCTGTCTTTTCCATTTCAGCTTGTCCAATATCCTACATTCATTTTTTTTTTTTATTATTGTAGTTACTGCTATTTCATCCCTCCTTTCTATGGTTCTCTTTGAAATATGGAAGTGTCTGTGTTTTTTCCGTGGCCTTTCCTTGCCATCCTCTCTCCCTTTAAAAAAACAAACCTTCAAAAACCTTTTTTCCTTCCTTGTAGTCAAGAAGTGTATTCCTTCTACTCACACTGACACTTTTTCTTTCACTGAGATCATGATGCCCTTCTTTAACCTTTCTCTGTCTTTACTGTTCTCATTTGTTGCACCCAGCTGTCTTGTTTCTCATCCCCTGTAGTCATCCGCATTTGAGCTGTAACCCAGTACTGTTCTGCTTTGTTCTTTTTGTCTTGTCTCATTCCCAAGGGTAGTAATCTGATCGTCTGAGCCTCATTCGCATTAGCTTTGCATGTGCCTTTTTTGGTATTGTATTATTTTATTCTCCTTAATCATCTTTTCCTATCACTTTCTATATTTCTTAATCTAGAGTGGAAGCTCCGAGTGGAGAGTGCTTATGTTTTCATATCTACGCATGACTTTTTCTCGTGTATTATTCATGGGTCTCTTTATAGACAGTAAAGACTTCTCACTTTAGATGATAGTTACACAATTCTTTACTGTAGATTTTGGGATCCTCTTCTCACTTGTTACAAGGAACCACAGGGCTCCAGGGAACAGGTTTACTGACAGCGTTTGCATTCAGTGTTGATAGATGTAGGAATGTAGTCTTCCTTGTTTGTAAGTAGAAGCATAGAAATAGGAAAACAGATTCCCAGTGTGGTTTATTGTCATGCTAATGACATGCCTGCAGAAATTAACAAAGTTTTTTCTGAAAAGCAATTTTTCTTTGGTGAAATTAGGCCTTGGCTGAGCATCACAGTTGGTGTAAGCTTTCTTTTTTGTTTCAGCATCATGAAGCACTCTGCCTTTTTTTAATTGCATTGATTAAAGTGGAATGCATTTTAGTTATCAGAGCAGACTATTGTCTTCTTAAAAGAATGCGGCTACACAACCACTTGCAAGTATTTGAAAGGTAGATACATTGTGATGCTATTTTTTTTCTGTATTCAGTTTTTTTAAACTAAATTTTGAGAGAAAAATGTATTTCTAAAGGCATTCAGCAGCCATTAAATTAATGTGATTTAGTTTATGAAGACAAGCAGTTGGGTCTTAGGAAGTACCAGATTTATGGTTGCTTATACTAAGTTCTGTCCCCTGTTGTCTTGAAATGAGGCACGCATGATACAGAGAAAACCACTACATGATGTTAATAAACAGAGATTGCATCAAAAACTGTGCAAAGGAGGGAGGGAATTGATATTATACAGTAGTTATTTCCTTAGTATTTCTGAGCACTGGGGCTCCTAAGAACCTAAAGTCTGAAGAACTTGTAAGGATTTCAATACAAATATTTCTGATTGGCTTTTTAAGGGAAGAAAAAAAATCTGTTGTATATGGCTGTGACAAATTGCTTTTTAGGCATTTCAAAGGTTTGAGTCTTGAATTTATATTTTATATATATTACAGATCAAATGACAAGCTTTAATGTATTACCAAGTATCATTAGAAGATGATGTCATCTTTCATAACCTTCTGCTGGGAAGCTGGAAGCTTAATGATTTGTTAAGCATGCTTGTTCAGACTTTGCATGAAGTAACTTGAAGTCTCATGCTCTCCTTCCTTCTGTAACCACTATGTCAGGCTTGCAAATCATTTGTTTGGCCTGACTGGCAGCTGTGATTGCTTTGATGTGAAGAATGTGCATATACCCTGTGCAGCTGGCCATCTTCTGGCTGGCCGACCAGCACATCTGCAGCGCATGACCAGTTTTTGTCTAATAGCCAGTCCAAAGGAGGTATGAGTTTATATGGGATGATAGCATGAGGCTGAAATGCTCTTCAGGAGACAATGGGCATGGGTGTATTAAGGTAAAAAATTGCCCATGGGAGTCTTGGAGGATTGTAGTCATAGGGAACACAGGGAGCAAAAGGAGTATTGCAGTTAAAGGCAGAGGTTGGAGTCGAGCTGGGTATTACAGGAGAGGATTACAATTGCAAAACTGGGTGATAGCTACCCATTTTCCTCCACCTGAACCCATTACCATCTGTAAACATTAGGCAGTCTTAGTACTTAGCTGAGTGATTGGGCTTTTTCACGGAATGTGACTTTGTAGTGGCATGAGGTAAATGTGGTCAAACTATCAGTTACAGAATTTCACATGCCTAGGAAGCTGCATGTTTAAAATGTCATCTCTATGTCGGGATATTCAAGTGTCTGGATGAGCCATTTCTTTATGAATTAAACTACTAAGCTGACACCAAATTTCTGTCCAGAGTAAATTGTGCGAGTCTAAGTCCAAATGTGAGCCTGAGCCATCATTTTTTATTTTTTATTCTTTTGGCCATAATTCTGTTCAGTTCACTGCATTACAGATCATAATATTTCCTTACATGGGTGTTGCAATGACAGGTGTGTGGTAACAAACACCACAAGAAAAATATCACCCCGTAGTTTTATCTGTATTAACCTCTACCTTAATGAAAAAAAAAAACACAAAGGTGCAGCTAATGCCATAATGCAAGGTTTATAAGTATATGCTTAAATAATACAAAGAGACATTAACCTTCCTTCCTCCAGTGCTCTTGCCTCTGATCTCCAAAGGTCTGCAGTCTGTCAGCTGAGAGCTTCTGTCTGAGGCTTCTTTCTTTTCCCTGACTTTTGACTCTGATTTTTTGACAGTGCATGAATGATGGCTAGTCTTCAAGAAATAGTGTTTTTAAAGAGGCAAAGTATATTATAAATAGGTTACGTGAATTGAAATACAATAAATAGGTAAGTGGTATAAACATGATGCTGAAAAAGTAACTTACTTTTTCCCATCATAGACTTACTTGCACTTTCTTACACACTTTGAGTACTAGAAAGTTTTGTTGGTTTAGAAATCGGCCATCAGTCTCATGATTTTTAGTAGTTGCTGACGTTTCCCAGCCCAGTATACAAAGCTTGGCTGCTTTCCATCTAATTAAAATGCAGAGTTATTGAAAGGATACTAGCATGTCTGCTGAGATTTATGATAAATCTTAGCGAGCGTTTCAGCAAGGGCTTCATTTTTGAAAAATCCCATCTCATTGTACAAAATAGGGCTGAATTATGAAAAAGTATTTATAAGGTAGAAAGCTCTGTTATTATTACAGTTGTTCAGGGCTGGCCCTAGGAGTTGCTTCTTAATGAGTTTTTGGTGAGAAAATGTTGACCTTTGATTTCCTAATATTTGGTATGGAAGTTGCTACTTCTAGTTTTAATCTGTACTTTATGCAAATATATTAGTTATCATGAGGCATTTATGCACAGAAATTTTCTTCCAGAAAATGCATGTAATCCTAGTGAAGGATATTCAAGGGTGTTAGTTTTGGAAAGGAAGTATCTGTAGCTAATTTCTGAGCAAGACTTATGGAATAGCATTTTAAACTCAAATATTATAGAAGTAAAGGAAGAATATCTGCTTGCTTGTCAAAAGGAAATTGTATTTTTCCCCTGCACGTTTAATGTTTTTTAAAAAAATTAGTACTAAATCATTCAATCAGCATGGCAGCTCTGAGTGATTTAAGGGGCAAAACCACAATGCTGCTTTTTAAAGGAATTATTTATTACAGTTTAACATGAACAAAAGTATTCCAAGTACTGTGATCTGGTCTTTTAATAGACTCTGCCTGTTTTAGTGTCAGGTTTATACCTTCTTCCATAGGCAATTCTGTCACATTTTAAGGAGGTCATTATTTACTAGAAGTTAAAAGTACAACTTAAGATATAATGTAGTTCACAAGCAGCAGATAACTTTAAAGTAATTTTTATTTTTTTATATTTCCTGAGTTTTATGTGTAATGACAGAAGTTCTTAGTAATTGCAACAACTATTGCTTTTTAAATAATCGGTGCTCTTTAAGCCATTGTATCTATTCCCAGCCGACTATCACAGCAGTGGCCACACTGTTATAAATGGCTGGAAGATCCACAACACAGCAAAGAACAAATGGTTTGTATGCATGGCAAAAACCCCTGAAGAGAAGCAAGAATGGCTGGAAGCTATTTTGAAAGAGCGAGAGAGAAGAAAAGGTATGTTAATAAATTTCCTTGTGTTGCTTCGCCAGAAAGCCATGCTGTATTTTTATGTTGAGATATAAAGCAAAACCAGCTGCTACACAAACTTGTGGTGTCAAGTTCAGCTGAAGGTTTATGGATACCAGCTTGGAAAAAATAAATCAAACTTTGAACTGGGAAGGGGATAATGTCTTTAATCATGTATGCTGGTAGTGAACATTGTTTCATAAACTGGGAGATGATTTAAGCTATGATTTTATAGTTTATCCTGAAGCAGTATAAATAATCATAATTTCATTGAGGCCTGTGTACTGGTGTGGTTTGTGGTATGTGACTGTCTATCCTAAATATCTTATGGGATTTGTATGCATTGATTGCCTTTTGTGCCTGGTCATTTGAATCACTGAAATGAGAAGGTTTTCTGTGTTGGATCTCCATGCAGATGATCCAGCATGAAGTGGTACAAAATACACTCACAATCCCATCTGTGAGGTATTCTCCCTCGCAGAAGAAAGCAAGAAACTACAATTGGAAAACCACTATAATTTTGAATAACTGGATTAAGGTGGAAGAATACATGGATAAAATACAATCCTGATCTCAAACATGACCATGAATAACATGTATTCAAGGTGAACCCAGCACAAAGTAGAACCAGGGAAAGATGATGCATCATCATCTTATGGAGCTAATTTCATTTGCAAGCTTAAATATCCTAATCAGTAACAACGTTTGTAGCCTTGGTATTGAAGGAAAATATGACCTTGTAGTTAGATCTGGGTTTCTTTTCCTGGTCTGCATAGATTTTTTTGTAGCCTGTTGTGGTAGCCGTTGCTTTGTGCCTCTGTTCTAAATGGAGAGTAACAATGCTTTCTTTGGTGTTTTAAATTTGAATACTGAATGTTTGTAGAACATTTGTCATAGGACCAGAGTTTCAACTAGGGTGTCTGAGCACTGGCTGGTTAATAATGCCACCAGGAATTCATAGAAAAGCTAAAAATGTGCCTCAGATGTCAAAAAAACCCCATAATTTTTAAAATGAAAAAGCAGTGTGGTAGAGATAGTGTCAAATACAACAAGAAGAGGTTGTTTGCTTCTGTATAGGCCCTTGTCTTACTGACAGAAAGGCTTTTAACCAATCCCACTTCCCTGCTCAGTTTCTTGGCTCCCTTACACTCTTGATACCTTTATGTAAGAAATTGAAAGAGTGAGTAGGATTATTTTATGTTGACGTATTCATTCTATTTCACGCTATACTATCAAGCAGCTGGTAATAGAAGTAGGTTTGAGGTAAACCTTGCCAAGTGCGAGGTAGCCATCCCAAAGTCAAGCCATGTCTTAGGATTTTAACATTTGATGATTTGGGGAAATTTTCAGCTCCTGGTGTTCTCAGTGGGTTTGCCACCAAGGAGACAACCATGAAAGAAAGAAGAGAGGATTTGGTCCACACTTAGACTTAGCTTGCAACACAGAATCTTAAAAAATATTTCTTGAGTGTCTCTGTTACTCTATCGGCTTAGAAATTTATCCACTTCCTCCAACACAGTGATTTGTTCTTTTTCAAAATATCAGAAAAAACACCTCTTGCAAAGCAGGATGTATCAACTTAATTGCAGTCAAGTTGCCAAATGACTTGGGAACCAAACAGCTGTCTTTTTAGAATTCAAATGCGTATCTAAATGCAGCTCTAACACTTTCTCATTCACTGTGAACATAAAGATGCTTTAATTGTATGTTTACTTAGTAAGACATGGAGCCTGTTCATGTGTGTGTGTATATAGGCAATTACAGTGAAGCCCAAGTGACCGCACATGTGAAAACAGTGTTTCATCTCCTTTGCAAGACTGTTACAAACTAAATCGAATCTATATTTTCAGAATTAAACAAGTGGCAGACTATTTCTCAGATTAAATACCTACAGTTGCAGTTTTAAAGATGCGAAAATCTGAACAGAAACTGAGAACATGTACATAGTTGTTCTAGAAATGTATAGTTTTGTCCAGAACTAAAATTGTTGATTGAGAAAGCACATGGGATATGAAGGTCTGTGGTGCTTCTTGGAAGCACAAACTTCTGTGAATGGCTGGTGGAATGCACAATTCAACAAAACCTGGTTTTGATCATCTCTTACTCAGAAAACGTAATGATTTCCTCTAGAAGCAGGGGTGAAAAACCAACCCAATAAGAAATACTGAAATAAAACCCTTAGTAGTCTTCATGTTGTTGAAAAAAAATCTGAAGGAAATAGAAATGAAGTTGTATAAATGCTTTTGTGGAAAAGGGGTGAATTAATCTTATATGAAAGTAATAAATTTATAATTATCTACTATTAACTGGAAATTTGAAAAAGTCTTGTGTAAGTGAAAACATTTTTATTATTGTGTGGTGTTTATTATCATATGGTATGGCCCTTTTTTTTAGAATTTGTGAAGACATGACTATTCCATTGCAAATATTCATATACTGAAGTCTGAAAAATCACAGCATTAGTATTTATTACTACAATATCAATGGTTATGTCAATATAATAACATTTTAACTTTGCTATAAGAAGCTAAAAGATATGATTTTGCTTTATGAAGATCAGATGTTCATGGTTAAACTTGATTGTGACAAAAATAATAGAAAGCAGTTCCTTTACCTTTTTTTGTATGTAAAATATTGGTATTGCTTCTCCATTTTAGGAAAAGTACTGTAATATAATGGCAATATCACTTCATAAAACTTTAATGCATTTTTGGCAGGTTTAAAATTGGGTATGGAGCAGGACACTTGGGTGATGATCTCTGAGCAAGGAGAACGACTGTACAAAATGATGTGTAAACAAGGGAATCTCATCAAAGACAGGAAGAGGAAATTGACCACTTTTCCCAAATGCTTTCTTGGAAGGTATTATATGCATTTTATAGCATGGTTTTTTACCAGCTAAGCTCACATTTTACATCTTCTTTGGGATTCTGTGGAAACCACAGTTTATTTGTAGTGTCTGTTAGGCCTATTTGCCTCCCAGAATTTAGCCAAAATGTAAATTGATCTGAAATTTATGGATGTGCACTCATGTTCCAAAATAGCTTTATTAAAGGGACAAGGCTGTAAAGGCTTGTTGAAAATATGAGAATGCATCAAATAGATTATTTAAAGAAATATTTCCCAACCTGTTTTAATGAATTTTTTGTCTAAAATACTTAGATTATTCCACTTAAAAAAAAAAAATCTTGCTCTCAAAACTGTTTCTGTCCTTCTCCTGCCTAAATAAAATTTACATGTTTAAAAATGTACCCCTATTATCAGGGTGATCTTTCTAATGAGATATACCTGTGGCTTAAGAAGACTAAATGCAAGAGAAAGAGAAAGCAATAGGTACCCTAAAAATATGTGTGTGACAACAAAATTAGTTGGGTAGGTGAAGGGGTTATCAGTTGTTGTATCTGACTGTGAGATAGTTAAGCCTGGAAAGTATTTCTATAAAGTACAATGACTGATTTACACAAACACATTCTAGTGAAGAAACTCATCACTGGCTTCAAAAGTGGAAATGAAACTTGGGCAATTTTCATGTGCCATCAGAAGTCACATAGCTGATGAGAATTGAAACCAGGATTAAGATTAATGATTGAGTTAGGGTTGAATCATGTTCCCTCGCTCAAGTTGTTGGAAGCAGGTAAAGAGAAGTCATGTATGAAACATTTAAACCTACCATCAAATAGCTTCTTTTCTGTGCTGTATTTGAAGTAGACCCTTTGGAAGTATGCTTGTGCTGGTCCTTGGGTCACCAGTTAAAACCCATGACTGTGCATGTTGCACTACCTCACTACGCTGCTCTTTAGATTTGGAACACACATGTAAATAACTTATGTGCTATAAATTCAGTACAAGCCAGACATTTCCTGCAGTGCAGCATATATTTCGTATGTGTGCTCAGGATGTTTTTTACTCACCTTGGAAATAATAATTCTGTTGTACTGTGATAATGTTCTGACTTCATGACATATCCATCCTGGGCAAGAGCAGTAGCTATGCCTGGGACTGGCTTATATTTAACCATCTGGTCAAATGTGGCTATGATAGTTTAGGAAATCCCAGAAAACATGAAAGTCTTTACCATATTCAGGGTAAACCATGCAGGTAAAACTTCTGAATAAAAAAGACATCTCAAGGGAAACCATATGTATTTATGTCAAAATAATAATAAAAAGTTGAAATAAGAGGGTTTGTAAAGGTGGTATGACATTCTGAAGATTTTTAGGCTTAAGCGTCACTTCCTAATATAGTAAGAAACACTAGTAATTGAGTGGGAAATGTAGTAGATCTGGTAGTATGACTTTTAAAGTTCGGGTTTTTTTTTTCTATCTGTTTTCATTTCAGTGAATTTGTGTCCTGGTTGTTGGAAATCGGAGAGATACACAAATCTGAAGAAGGTGTTCATCTTGGACAAGCTTTGTTAGAGAATGGCATTATCCATCATGGTAAATATAACTGGTTTTAACTTACTTGCTTTCAGTGTAATTGTTGTAATTAGAGTGGACTTAATTTTGTTTGAAAAAAAGATGGTCTTGTTAAGGCAAGACAGGTTGTTGAATCTGCATTATATCCTTGCAGGGACCTCATGGAAGCATTGTCCATGCCTAGCAGATTTACTGTGAGAGGCTCCATTAATTTAATCAGATTACATTTATGGTTTTGGGAGCACAACATCACAAAGAAATGTTGCTCTTCTCTTGTAAGCAGAAATAAATTCTGGGGAACAGAGAACTGCTTGTAAGGATTTAAACCTTTTATTAAGGCCAGGCTTTCTGGGGATGCATGTTGAACTAAGAATTAGAGAAGAGAGTGAGTCACAGTTGGCTATTGATAAATATGCCTGCTTATGTGTTAGGTATTACAAGAGGAGCTGGTGGAATCCAACCTGGACCCAGCAGTTTAGTCTTTTGAGTGTTAAGGCCTTCCTTATTTTCACTACATTGTGCAGTTACTAGAATTGATATTTTTATGCTGAATTGCATTTTAAGTCTTCTATACTTCAGCCAGCAATTAATTTTTAAGTTCTTTGCCATGATATTTTCAGTGACCTTGACTGAAAAGAAAGCAGGAGTAACAGAGTGCCACTTAGCTGTATGCATTTTAAACATTCACAGAGTAGGAGGAAAAACATTAAGGTTATACATCAGTAGTCATGTAGTCTTTCATTCTTTAATGTCAGTCTACATGATTTTCCTCCACCATCATTCAAATGTCAGATGCTATTATGTTTACTGTACACAGAGAATAGTTTTCAATTGAATGATTCTGTTGCCAGAGATTCTTCTCATGATCTTATAATTTATATCCCAAATACACCCATAGACTTTCACAATAGAGAGTTAAATGAATATTGTGTAATTTCATGAGATAAAAGGGTAATTATATTAGAGCATAGAAATGTGAGCCAGACATGCCACTCTGAATAGTGGATCCAGCTGTGGTTCAGTGAAAACAGAATTCCTAAAATAAAGTTGAATGAACCATCTGTTTTCACAGAGGGAGCAAGGAAGAAAGAAAGTTTGGCTGTTATTTACATTACAAATGTTACAGAGGGCTTTGTTAAACTTCACATATTCACTCTGCTGGTCATTATTTTCACTGTGCGGCTTCATTTTAGTAAGGACAGAACCATGTGGTACGGGCATTGTTTTAGTTCCTGGTGTGCGAACTCTTGCAAGTACAAAATTCGTTTTTTTATTTTCATTTTTGTTTTGTATTTCTCTTCACCAGTTTTGCGAATGGGAAAAATCCTTTTATCTGTTGCTATTTTAAATCCATGTGGTGGTATTCTCTAATATCTGAAATGACTTCTATCAGCCAGCAGGCTGAGATATTTTGTCCAGTCACTTGCCACTGATTATTAGATAGAAGCTTCCTCTCAAGGCAGTAAGGAGCTTAGTAGTTACAAAGATAATCTGAGTATCAGATAGTTTTAAAATGAATAAGTATTTATGTAGTTATGCAGGTTCTTGGGCTGGTGTACTGATCTGAGTCAAAACTACCTTGGCCCAAAAAAGTTAGGAAAAAAAAAAAATTTACACCTGGATTAGTTCCCTTTTCTTAGTCTGTGACATATAAATATCTATCCCAACACAAAATATAGGTACATTGTTGGGAATGACACGCAGAACAACCTGGGGTTCCTTATTTTAATGGTAATGCAGCCTTTTATCAGCTTTAAGTGTTTGAAACTCAGGATGTGTCAGCTCTGTGGACCTGTTCCCTTAGTTTCTGGTGCACTCTATGTAAGTAGGCGCTGCAAAGACAGTGATGCTTGTGTTCCTCAGAGGACATGGCCTGCTCTGTTTGTCACTGGCATGCAAGAAAGGAAGGCTGCTTTGTAGTCCTGGTACCCTCTCAGCACATCTCTGTAATGGTGATGAGCAATTTGGCCTTATGCAATACCGTCCTGGTGGTGTTTTTCCTATTTTATGTAGTTGCTGGTTTAAAACACTCGTACTGTGTGTTGGTATAGTAGAATATGGTTTTCAAGAGTATGATTTTTTTAATTTTTTTTTTTAATTACGGGACTAGAAGATGCCTTCTCTCCCCCCCCCCCCCCCCCCCCCCCCCCCCCCGTCAAAATGGTTGAAATCCATTAAAATTCAGTTAGATACTCATAGTAGGCATTACATGTAAAAATTCTGTAGTCCGTATCTGATTTACCGAGAATCAATGACATGTAAAAGATCTTAGGGGTTATTTTGAATAACCACATTAGTGTGAACCATCAGTTCAAGGCAATTGGAATAGTGTCATGGGCTTTACTATTAGTAGATACATCAAATACAGGTAGAGAAGTTACTTTGCTCTGGCACATGACACTGGTGAAACCACTGAAGTCCAGTTTTTATGTCTGTGCATCAGATGATGTGGGGAGATACTGAAGAGGTTGAAGGGGCATGAAAAACAGTCAGACAGAAGGCACCTTACTATACAGAGTTTATGATGCCTAACTACGTTTTCTGAAGAAAATAATGTATGATGGTTTAATCAGTTGGTGTAGGAAGGCATGCACAAAAGAATTGCCTAACACTCTCAGGCCCGTTACTCTGATTAATGGAGACATTACAGTACCCTCCTTTAGTTTCAAAATTAAAACTTATTTCTGCAAGCAAAACAGCAATACAAGATAATTATGCTAGGATAGTCCTAGTCCTAGTGCTGTCCTCAGCCATCAAATAAATCAGCTGTTTTTCAGAAGGAAAACACCTGTTTCCAGGTGTTTTGTATCATGTGGTATGACTGTTTTGACAAAACACTTGAAGTTGTGGGGTTGTTGCTGGAATGTTGTAAATTTCTGGAAATTCATCTGTTAAGATCCTTTTTCAGAAGTCTTTGGGGAAATGGATTATCAACACCTTCAAAATGATTGCTGGTCTCTTGTGCTTAAGGCCTTCAGCTGGCTCTATATAGACAAAGATGTTCACTCTCCCTTTTCTCTCCAGTGCAGGACTGGTCAGATGTGTGTCTTTACTCTTCTGAGATTGGCCTCCACAGAATTAAAACAGAGAATCATGGAAAAATAATACAAACAGTTGCAAAAGAAGCTTTATTTGGTTATTTCATTGATAAAGCTTTGCAAAAGTAATGAAAGCTAGAAAGATTTGAGTACCTAGTTTTTCAGGTTGTTCCCTATCTCTTTGTCTTTCTGAATTCTTTGCCCTGTAAGTTGAAATTGGTTTGTTCTAAACTACTTTAACATTGTGAGAAATATCATCACCAGTGACATAAAGGAACTTAAGGAAAATGATCTAATTGGGCTTCCTGACCTCCCCGTCTGAAGTCAACCGGTTGCTGTGTAATTGGCTGTTATTAGATGAAATGATGTTGGCCCACTTCTTTCTTCTTTATTTCTCCAGAAAATCATCTAACTATAAATAATTATTTTAACTTTTTTTTTTTAAATTCAGTTACAGATAAGCACCAGTTCAAACCTGAACACATGCTGTACAGATTCCGATATGATGATGGAACATACTACCCCAGAAATGAGATGCAGGATGTGATTTCTAAGGTACAGGTTAGAATACTTGCTGTTATTAGGAAGAACACATCAGAAATGGAGGTTCTGCTTGAAACATAATGTAAAATGTTATGCTAGCATAAAAAACATCCCTTCATGCTTGCCTGTCTCTATTTTTATGTGAATCCAATTCAGTTTACTGTTTGTAAGGTAAGATTTTGGCTTGCTATTATGCATTTTAAAAGCAAAATTAAAGTTTGTTGGGTTTGTTGGTTTTATTATTTAATGTTTTCATATGCCATGTTTATGGGTGGAGCTGGCGTTTCAGGCTATTGTATTTTTCAGTCCATTTTAATAGATATGAAGCTACATGTGGAAAATTGGTTTTGATTTTTCTTAAATCTGAGTGTCATTTGTTAGTGCCTTAACGAGGTGGTAGATCTGTAGTCATATAGATGTTTAAACACAGATAGGTAGTGCTGTCCGCACTACTGAGCATAAGCATAGAATCCTAAAATGATTGAAGAAGGTTGCCTTTAAACTCATTAATATTCAAACTTTCATGAATTTGAGGTGGTAGAAAATGTCAGCTTTTGGGTATTACATTATAGTGTTATTTGCTTTTCTGCTAGTATTTCTTAATGCAAGGTATATCTAAAAGAATCTTCTCAATACTGAGCTACAAGGCATAGGAACATAGGATGGAATCTATTTTGACGTAACTTTTAATTGTTATGCATGGTTGTTCTTGCAGGTTATAAATTGTTTTTTGGTAGTCTTCTAAGTAATACTAAGTCAATTTCTTCTTTAAAAAAGTTTTCCGATAGTAGTTTCTTAACTCCTACAAATGTCCTATGTTTTTAATTGAAAAAAATTCAAATCTTGGAACCTTTTTGCACTTTTTAAGTTTATTGGTTATTTATAATTTAAATTTGTAAATAAATTGATGCATATAATCGAGTGCAAGGGTTTTATCTTAATTTGTTACTTTGTGTGTAGAATAGCAACCAGTGATTGCAAAAATGTTAATGCATGGCAACATTGCTGTGTCTTTCAGGTTTTGTCTGTGTTTCTTTCAACGTACTATACCTTCAGAATTTTTTAATGCTACCTTAAAGCTAAGCCTTTTTGCATGTGTCTCAGTAAAGTTTAGATTAGGTTAGAAATGTTTTCTTTTTCATAATTTATTCGTCAATATTTTTGTCTGGAAATACTACTTGTTGGCACATGAAAATATATAGAGATTTGAACAGAGCTTTTTACTATATAAATATAGGCTTCCTTACTGCATCCATTCCTTTTATGTTCTCTGTTGTGTGGCTAACTAACCTCATCTTTCTCTTTAACAGGGTGTACGACTGTACTGTCGCCTTCACAGTCTGTTTACCCCAGTAATTAGGTGAGTCAAATTGGGAAATCCTTAAAAGAGTCAAATGGAAGAAGTATGTAATCTGAAGATACTGTGAATGCAGGAACCTAACCCATCCTTTGAAGACTGGTCTCTTGGGAATAATCAAACAAAACTGAAGGGCTATAAAGACAAAAAGCATAACTGAATCATTAAATGACTACAGACTCCGTTCAGTATGACCTTTTTTTAGAGTTTTAGAACCTTCTAGGTCCTGATGGATATGCTTATATACTGACTGCATATTTACTAACACTCTGTTACCTCCTTTGGAGAGTCCCATGTGCCTTTATACTCCAGTGACATTATTGCCCAAGCAAGATAAGTAAGCCTCCTCCTTTCTTTCTATACTAAAAGGTTTGACTTGCTCTTTTACCCCAGAGGCAACTTCTGAACCATTACAAAATTCTCAGTTCATGCTTGCACTAAATTGTTTATAAAATGCAAGTATTTTAGGCTCTTTTGAGTTTTCGTTTGCTTTTTCTTTTTCATTTTGAACAGGGATAAGGATTATCACTTGAGAACCTACAAATCTGTGGTCATGGCTAACAAACTCATAGACTGGTTGATTGCACAGGCAAGTATACACCTTTGGATTTATGTTTTTCATTTAAATTCTAAGTTGAAAGGTAACGATGTCTTAAGCAGAATAACATGCAGGCACTTTGTGTAAGATTAGTTGGAACGTCACATGTAAATGTTAATGTTCCTCTTAAACTAGTAAAGTAACTGAAATCAGCTGTAAGCAGACATGCTGTTTATTCCTTTTGTGCTTATCTTTCTTACATGCAATTTAAATGTTTTAATGAGACTTAGTTTTGTAACTGTTCATGGCTTAAAATGAAATGGATAGTCTCTGAAAACTCTGAATTACTAACTAGATGGACAAGAGTCATTTTCAGTCATTAGTTCTGTTTTATTTTAAGCAAACTAGGAACAAGAACAGGGTATCCTGTTCACTCAGTCAACATGCACCAGTTTTATAAGATAAAAGTTAAAAACTTTGACACTTTTACATTCTATTATATTAAATTTTTATGGGGAATGCAGTGTTACTAAAATGTTTACATCTTTTATTTGTAACTGTAAAGATATATACCATGTAAAGGTCCCTTCCAACCCAAACTATTCTATGGTTTTATGATAAGCATGTATATACTGTTTAATATGTGTGCAATAAATGTATATATAAAGGTATGTGTGTGGTAAATACCATCTACAACCATTGCCAACCCTGTGAGTTTATGCTATTGTGTGTTTTGACGCTATATTAAAGTAAATGAAAAAAATCTGCTATGGTTTAACAGGGGGATTGCCGGACGAGGGAGGAAGCTATGATATTCGGTGTAGCTCTTTGTGATAATGGGTTTATGCACCATGGTAAGTAAATACATTCTGTGCAAGCTATGCTTACCTTTCATTTAATGCTATCTACATAGTTGAAAGGAAATGCAAAGGCTGGTAAAGATATTACAGAAGGGATAGGAAGTTCTTTCATTGTATTGCTGAAGAGATCTATGCTACAATCTTCAAAGAAAAAAAAAGCTATTGTATACTCTGAAAATTATTTTCAGTCAGTTTTATAGCACGCACTGAGGAATTCATCGTCTGAATAATATGTGTGTGTGTGTGTGTTGGTTTTATTAGCCACTCTGAAAGAAGTTTCTTAATCAGGTAATACATGTTGGCACAGATGAGATGATAAAAAAATTAGGAAACACATAGGAAAGAAAGGAGATGTTTTTTTTGGGAATGAATGAAGGAGCATGACCTTTAGAAAAAGCTGAAGTGGTGACAATAGGAGAAAGTGGAGTGAGTGGAGTGTAGAAAAATGAGAAAATCATAAGGGCAGTAGTGAACAAAGAAGGGAGACGAGAGCAAAGATACGTGCAGAACAAAAAATGAGGTGAACAAGGTCAAATTTAATACCATCAGAGGGAAGATTTCAGTGAAAGGATTGAAGGAGTAGGTCATTTACTGAAATGAAAAGAGGAAGAAATCATTTTCTTATCAGCTTGTTTAGCTTAGTCCTCTCTGGCACTGTTCATTCTTTTTCCTTGCACTTTTAAACATCCAGACTGCATCCGCTTGCTGTTCTAGTTGATTCCACATTCCCACCAAACACATTTCTAATACTGAACCTGCCATCCTTCACCACCTGGAGAGTGCTAGAACTTGGTGCTGAGCATCTCCAGCAGCTATCCATCAGAACTTTTCATACCCACGTTTTTAAATCCTTTTTAGGAAGAAACCTTGTGCTTGGCATTTTCACTAAAACCATTTCAAGCTAATATGTCTTCCTCAGCTTGGTGAAATCCAGATGTTGGGGTTGAAAATGAGCTTAATGATACCTGTCTGTAATGGATCCAAATAAAAATACTTGTTTATGTTAAAAATCAGTATTTCCCTGGATTCACGTACAAAAATAGTTTGCTGGAATTTAATAGGTGTATGCATGTTCAGTATTTTATGGTTTATGAAAGTCATTAATACATGTGGTGTTGCATCATACAGTGTTAGAGAAAAGTGAATTTAAAGATGAACCACTGCTGTTTCGTTTTTATGCGGACGAAGAAATGGAAGGGTCAAATATGAAGCACAGACTCATGAAACATGATCTGAAAGTAGTGGAAAATGTCATAGCCAAGTCATTACTGGTGAGTGAAACCCAAGGATTGTATGCTTTGATGAGTGAAGAAACTGATTGTAGTGACAATAAATTAGCACTGTGTGTATTTATTTAATGGGGATGTCCTTTAGCTGTTCTTCATGCCTTGCTGAACAGTATTTTGAACAATTTTATTTTTCAGATTAAATCTAATGAAGGCACCTATGGTTTTGGTTTAGAAGATAAAAATAAGGTGCCAATTATTAAAGTGGTGGAGAAAGGATCAAATGCTGAGGTATCAAGTATTATAAATTATCATCCCTGTTTTATTCACTTGATCACAGGTGTATGTTTTGTACATCAGTGGGGAAAATCTATGGTAGTAGAAGGTAACAATGATAACTTTCCAAGAAAACTGTGGTTATGAATCTTCCTTTTCCCTTTTTTTGATTTGGTTTTGTTTAAAATGCTGCTCTGACCATTATCAACACTTACTTTCTGCTCAGGTAAATTGTCATATTGAGTGGTGATATAAAATTGGTCATTTTATTTTTATACATTTTATAATATTCCTGTGATGACATTGATCATGAGTGGAATAAACAATTTTGGTAGAGTGTAAACTGAGTATAGAGCTAGTCTGTGAGTTGCACTAGATATATTTCATAATAAAGGATGTATCAAGCTTTGGATGAAGTCTAGAATTTGAGAATCTGAATGAAACAGCTACAGCCTTTCTGTTTGTTTTAGATGCTCTTTGAGTAATTTCACATTCTGTTGAACTGCATGGGAGTCTCTGTACCTGTAAAGATAAATGAGTCTCTTCCATGAGATAAAAAATTTGGACACAGATTTCAAGCCTTTCTAAATCTCATGGTTGCATAGAAATGTAAGGTAAAAAAAGATATAGCAAATCAATAATATAATACAGTCACAGTGCTATATAGGATGATTTCTAGCAGTCATATTCTGCCATGATCTCAGATAGTGCTATGGTTTAGTCTGTGCCCTGACCTGCAGTTGGGTACTCCTGCCATCTAACTAGTTACAGTTCCTTTTTTGTTAGACCACAGTTTAAAACCTGTGAGCAATTTGCCTTGTGATACCATTGGCTCAAAGACCATGAAATATTTAAGGATTTTTTTTTTTTTTTTGCTTTGGAACTTAATACATATTCACTTACTGGAATAGTAATCAGGTCTTTATGAAAAGAAGCTTTAGGTCCTTTGGAGAATGATGGATGGACAAATTAGGTAGCGTCATAAAAAAGTAAATTGTCTCAAGGAAAGCTGTTGTGTTAGCTATTCCAAATACTAACTGATATTTTAATACTATCATAAAATCTTGATTAAGGCCAAGTCTTGTATTTAGGTCTCTTCAGAATGAGTGTTTAATGTACCTTTCAAGTCAATTTAACCAGTTCTAGAGTGTTTTATGGTTTAAGTCTTTTGTGCATGATATATGAAGGAAGCATAAAGAATGTAAAAGCAGTGTGCATGTCATTATTCCTATTGGGGTTGCATGACAGCAGCAGAAAACATTATGGTTATAAAAAGCAAATATATACACAACTGTCATTGTTTTCTAGTTGGCAGGCTTGGAAGTTGGGAAAAAAATCTTTGCCATTAACGGCGACCTGGTTTTTCTGCGACCCTTCAGTGAAGTGGATTGCTTCCTGAAAGCATGTTTAAACAGTAGAAAACCCCTGCGGGTTCTTGTGAGCACTAAACCACGGGAGTAAGTTATCATTCCTTTGGGGGAATTTTTATGAACCGCAGTTGAAGTGAATTTTAAAAGACCAGTGGAGTTTCAGAGAGTACTACTGTAAAGTTATTTTAAATGCTGTATCTAATCTGACTTTGCAAAGTTAAGCAATTTGATCTGCTTTGATTTTGTTTTATTACGTTAGCTAGGATAAGAAAAACACAAGTGCTTTAGATCATCGTCTCTGCTACTTTAAATACATGCAGGAACCACAAGTGTAAATGAAGTTTCCTTGACTGTAATGAACAGTTCTGATCACTTATCTCTCACTGTGTTTGTTAAACAAGTTCCTCTGCCTGGAGATTAGTTGCTGGTTTGCCAGAAGTCAGACTCTCTGATCTAACAGGCCTCTTCAGCATGTGTGCTGGTTGTGTAAACAGCAGGAGCAAGTAAACAGCTCTGCATCTTTATGTAGCAGAGGTATTTCTGTACACAGTTGTGACCATTCCTACCTGAATGCAATTTTCGTTACTTAAAAGAAATACAAAGTGAGGACTGATGGCTGGGCTTAGTAAATATGTAAATGAGCACAGGTCTGTTAATGAAGTTAATGTAGTTATTACTAGTTTATACATACCAAATAAAGAGGAAAGTAAGAAACAGTGGTCAGAAGTAATTTTGATCAAATTTTGCTGGGTAAGGAGGAGCCATTCTCTCTTACCAGATAGCACACAGAGAGTGCCTTGGAAATGGCTCTGGTTCAGCAGTAGAATGGAGACGTGTTTCTTGTATTAATAAGCAAGGGTGTCTTGAGAAATGCAGTGGCACCCCAGACAAACAAACAAAAACAGCAATAAGAAAAATTCCCCAAATGAGTAGATGAGAGTGTTGGAGCAAGTATAAAATGCATATCTTGCCCTTTCTTTAATGTAGATCTTTGTTTAATTTCTCATGAAAATGTGGGTGAATTTCAAGGTTGACAGAGGTAATCTAGTGAATGAGGAGTTCAGAGGAGTTGAAGAATTTGTTTCTCAGTGCTGCCTGCTTTTTGTCAGGAGCTGCCACTCGCACAACTATGTTGGCAGAAGAGACAGTTCTCTCATAAATTCTTAGGTTAAAACTGCCAGTGATGGTCTTTCATAGCTCATAAGAATATTCCAAAAGCATTTTCAGAATGAAACTGTATAGATTGCATCAACCTTCATTAGTATATAATATATACTACATGATTCTATACTTACGGAAATATTTCAGATGAAAATTTGTTAATCTCAAGAATATTCTGATTTTTTTTTAAGTTTCATAGACTTTAGTGGGTTTTGGATCTCACCTGTGCTGACGATTGTCTCCAAATGCTAAACATTATGTATACCAGAAAAAAATGAAAGTACAAGAAATGATGCAGTTATATTATTCAACATAATATCTGCAAATCAAGTTTATTAAAGTCCAAATGTATTTTAAATCACTTTTCATCATCAATTTGAGTTGCACTGGAAAATAAGAGCTTGGGGCAGAGATCCTTGAAATAATAACAGAGCTGGCTCTGGAAGTAAAGGCTGCAAAGCTAAATCAGTGGACTGTTACACATGACCTGACTAGCTCTGATAGGGGGTAATGCAGCTGTGTTGCTTTTTCTGGAACCCGAGCTGATATCATGTGGATATGCTGGCTTACTTTGGGTGAGCTCAGGGCTTCATTTTAAGGAGTAGATGTGAATTTTGATTCTAAGAACTGTTTTTGTTGGTCATGTTTCAGTAGGTTTATTACTATTGCACTTAGGTTAGCAGGAGTGTAATACAATGTGCTTGTGAATTACAAGAACAGTAGTAGGCAATTCTTGCTTGACAAACCTCAGATTTTACATAGCTGCCTGGAAGAATTGCACCAAATACTTTCCCAGTAAAACTCATCAAGTACTCACTTTTAGATGTTAACAAATTGTGCTATGGATCTAGTCTTTGCAATCTTCTGCAGCTTATCTGACAAGGCCTTGCATGATCTGTGGTCCCCAGGCTTGCCCTCTTGACTGAGAGACTCCCTGTCTTCCCAGGGCTTTCAGTGTTGCTGTGCTGTGGCAGTTTGCCCGAATCACGTGCTTTGGTTGTAATCGGCATATTGAATTTACCTGTGAATTTACTGCGTTTCAGTATCTCAGCTTGCTCTTATTTCTGATGTCAGTGGTGCAGAGTATCTGTAAGTGGATCCTGCTCAGTCTGAAACTGTGAATTGAATGAAAATGTCCTGTGCTCTTGTAAACCTACTTACTGCTTTATATTGACACATTTATATATATCAATATAGAATATATATATTTATATATCTACCTTTATATTAAATAACAAAATGTTACCTTTTCTCCATTCCTTTTGAATCTTTGCTTGTATCAGGACGGTGAAGATTCCTGACTCTGCAGATGGACTTGGATTCCAAATCCGGGGCTTTGGTCCATCAGTTGTCCATGCTGTTGGGAGAGGTAAGAGCTGTCAACTGTGGTGGTAAATACGCATTTACTATCTAAATGTCATGGCTGAGATACATCAAAATTAGGTCCAGTGATTCAGCTTAGGTTTCTCCCCCGAAGTAACAAACAATATTAAATAAAACCAGGTAAGATTGTTTAGTGTTCTTATGCTTTGTAAACTTTGGATAGATTTTCTGGCTTTTTTTCTTTATTGGGAACCACTCACTTCCTGAGCGTTGTATTTGTTAGGTGGCCATGTAGCCCTGCAATGTTCTGAAAACGATTTACAGAAAATGCACTTCTCACAAGTCTTTTCAAGGGTGCTAGTGGCCTCATCTGTCTTAGTAATTGCAGTTGTCTCCTGTAAATAGTGTTTTGTCCATTTTGTGGTGTGATTGTCAAATGCTTGCCATCTCTAACTCAGTATGTTCTTGACCGTGACACTGGTGATGAAAGAAGGTGAAGCATTCTTTGTTGTTGTTGTTAATGGTAGAGCCAACTAAAGTTATTTTCAGCTGTTGTGGGGCCATCATGTACTTTTTCCCCACCTACTCCCTTTACAATTGAGGAATTTTAAGTGAACTGATCTGCAAAGCAACCAGATTTGAGCAGAGCTTGATGGCTTTTATTTTTCTTCCTAGTCTCTTGTGCCAGAAATTAGGTTTTCAAGAGAAAGTCTAATAGACTACAGACTTTTGAGCTGATGTGATAATTATTTCTGCACCTGGATCTCAATTCAACTGCCTGTCCTTATTCATTAAGCAAACACTTTATTCCAATTAGCCTCAACAGTATGTAAGCACGTGCATGAGTGGTTTAGTAAACCTGAAAGATTTTTAAGCATATGCTTAAATACTTTGCTGAATTGGGATCCTGTTTTTTTTTTTTTATTTGTTTTCTTTTGTGGTTTGTTTTTTGGGGTTTATTTATATTTATTTTTTTTTAAGATGTGTTGTGTTTTTTTAGAGATATTTAAAAAGGCCTATTTAAATGTTTATTTTTAAATCTTTTTTGATGGGGTGCATGTGTTGCAATAGCTATTAATGGTGTCACTTCCAATGCATTTGATATTAAATTTAACATCTAGCTGTTGTCTAACCTGATAGTAGCTAAAATCAGGAAAATCCAGGAATATTGTTTATTTCCTTGTCAGATACGTTCAGCTGACAGGTCATGATGAGCTTTTCTATTTGTCAGCCTTGAAAATTCAGTCTAGCCTTTTCTTTCATAGCAGCTAGCTTCTGTACTTCAGCTTTGCAGTCTCTAGGCAATAGATTTTGACTTCCCTGTTTCCTTTGTGCCAGTATCAAGAGAGACATAAGGAGGAAAATGTTCAGGTAGCTGGAACTAAGGTTATACGCAAGCAAGCTGTCTTTCAGGAATGTACTTGAGTCATACTGAAAGACCTGGAGACAGCTGCTATTTTTGTAGTACCTATTCATTCACTGGGTGGAAGATATTTCCAAGGTGGTTATTCCATTGTGGAAATAAACCACTAAATCATACATTTTTTGTTGGTCAAGGAGAATGTTTTGTTCTCCCTCCTCTCCTACTTGACTGGAAATCAGTCAGTCCTTGGAAACAACCTTGAATTTTGGTATTTCACTTAATGTTTAACAAGAAAATCTAGTATGCTCTGATATTTATGAATTGTCAGAAAGCTTCTGTTTTGTATGCAGAATAGAGAAACCTGAAGTAGTCAACAAGCCCGTAAGCTTGGGCACATTAAAGAATTTAGAATAAAAGTGGTCTAAGTTGTAATTAGTAAGTTTCAAGCTAAGGGCTTTTATCCTTTTAAAATCATTTAAGACCATTTTTCCACATTTTCGTATTACTTATTATCATTTGATTTGTAAAACAGCATTTGGAAAATAGTCTGGTCTCTTAGGAAATCATCTGTTGAGGAACTCCATTTTGTTGGAGTCCAGATGACTGCAGAAGCACTCTGTGGTCAGGGGAAGTACGTAATAATTGGTGAGAACAGATTCTGATTAGAAAAGAGGCTTTTGGACTGTAAGCTTTAAAGGATATGTTTAGGAAATTAAGTCTGTTACTCATGTGGGTTTATTTTGAATAGGAACAGTGGCAGCTGCGGCAGGTCTCCACCCTGGCCAGTGCATAATCAAAGTGAATGGAATTAATGTCAGCAAAGAGACTCATGCAAGTGTTATCGCTCATGTCACGGCATGCAGGAAGTACAGGCGGCCAATGCAGGTATGTCTCATTTAGCACCCTTGCAGACTTTCTTCTAAGATTTTTCTTTTGTGGTCAAAGTAAGCAGTATGTTGTGTATCTATTCACACATCTGTTGTGTTTGAGTGGGATGAGGGGAAAGGTTTAGTGAAAACTGAAGGGAAGCCAGTTGAATTAGAAAAGCTTAAGATTGCTTAATATATTGCTGATGATCAAGGTCTATTTCATTTCTGAATCAAAATAAATCTTAAATTGATAGCTATTTTTTTAATATGGTATTTTTAAAGGATTATTTCAAGTGTTCCTGCATTTCTGGGTAGAAAGCATTAGGAGGTATATTGTCATCATAATGGAGAGGGATTTAAGCTTGCTGTATGCTCAGCAATAGAGAATTCAGTGCAAAAAATGGATCTTCTTCCAGAATTTTGTAACGCTTCAGCACAGAGAGGAGAGTGTGCATGTTCAGTCTATAAAAGTCTTTGTGTTCTGACTGCATTCCAGTATTGGGAATAAACATACATTCAAGGACTCAAAATTCCCCTTTTTTAATATAAGCATGCAATCTTTGTTATCTTTTTCATGTAGGTTTCAAAGAAAATCTTAGCCTTCTAAGACAGAAATTTAAGGAGCAAAGGCAAAACCAGCTGGATTCTATAATGCAGTTTTTCCAAGTCCTTGCAAATTTTTCATGAACTGTGAACCCATATCATTAATTAACTTCACAAACTCTTCCAGTACATGTTAGTTGAGAAGAAAAATCCAATTAAAATCAAGAGTGAAATCCTTCTCCCACACCTACTGCATAGATATAAGAATTATAAATAAGAATTAGAACTGTGTCTTTCAAATTACAGTCTCTATGAAAATGGTTGTTGGATGTTTGTGTTTAAACTGTTAATACAGTATTGAAGTTACATAGCATATCAAGATCAAGCTCACCTGTCGTTTAAAGGAAGATGCTCTTTAGTAAAGAGATGGTGCTTTGTCTGCTTCTAGCAAAACTGGCTAGAATAAAAGCTAAATTATTTATAGCAGCTGTATTTGCTCTGTGTGTAACTGTAGAATTCCTATAGAGATTGGTGACATTCAGAGAGGATTGGTTAATGTTGTCTGACACGTGAATGCCTTGACATGCAAAATTACTGGTTTTTAATCCACTTGTGTAATACGTTGGTGTACATAACTGTTTTTTCTATATGTATTATTTATTTCAATCTTAAAATGTAGCTGATCATAGTTCAGCAAATCACAAGTAACTAAAATCCCCAGACTGATCAGAAAAGCTTCATTTAGGATGTAGTGCTATTAAATGCTATGGGAGAACTGTCTAGACTGAAACAAAAGGCAGTATTCCCACTAGTGTCAAGATAGCTAAAATTTAATTTCCTATTCAGAAATGTGGGGTTTTAATTATTTGGACCATGACCATGGATTTTTTCCTATTTTGTAAGTACAGTGCATTATCCTATCATTTAATTAATTCAAATATTGCAGTCTTTCCTGTGGTTGACAGTTGCATATTTGAAAGGGGATCTTTTTCTCTTTCCTCTATATTCCACTTCTTTGGGTGAGGAGTCTTCCTGCTTGCCTTGAGAGTGAAGTTTCATTTCAGATTCTTTCATTGTGAATAACTGTGTAACATTGCTCCAAATCATACTGAATTATATCTTGTATTAATTTTTGAAAGAGGGACCTCCAGTTTAAGTAGTTGGTCCTTCCATAAGCCATACTAAGTTCAAATAATGAAGGAACCCTTTGGCATAATGCAAATCTCCTATTAGAGGTTGGCATGACAGTCTTAATACTGCCAAACAAACCTGTAAGAGTCCATAAATAAGCAGCAAGTTTTCAGGTGTACCTGCAAAGAAACCGGGATTTCAGTAGGCTTTCTGTCAATCAGCTTGTGCACAGGTGTCTTCCAACAATCAACAGAGAGCTCTTAAGTTAAGCTTCCTTACTAAAATGTTTCAGTGCCATTGAGTCAAAAGTAAGGCATGGATGAATCTAGGAAACCTAGAGAGAAATAGTACCTTAATCAAACGAAAATCTGGTTATCTATTTAATGGGATAAAGATAGCAGCTGCATAGTGTATGTTAGCAAAGCATAATTGGAAATTGTGTGAAAATGGTAGCATTCAGCTTAAAAAGTTGCTGTACTTGCTTGACTTTGAACTCTTCTACAAACTTCAAGGTCTGTGAATTCAGATTAGTCATAATTGTGTCATTTATTCTGCTGTAGCTTTTGGAGAGGCAGTGATTAAATGATTGTCAAGCTTCTTTTGAAGTGTAAGGGAAAGGGAGGAGTAGTCTGGAGATGCCATATTTGATAGGCCCTTCTGCAAGGATGTGATGGGCACGTGGCTGAGTAAGTGAAAGGGGGAGAAAAAGGTACAAGTTGTGTATATGGCTTCTTCACAGGTTGTATGACCAAGCCACCATTCATGTGCTCACACGTCACTCAGTCACATTGGATGTTGGACTTTTTGGGTAATTCTGTCTTTGTTTTGGCAGCTTTGCTCATCTGTGGGAAAAATAAAGAACATCCACTAAGATAACTATACTAAAGTCAAATATAAGTAACTGTACTAAAGGCAAATACAAGCAATGAAAGCTTTAGTGTCTTTTCTTCTTGCCCGTGACATATGGGTGATAGATTAACTGGACAGTCTGTGTCTTTGGTTTTCTGTAATATTTGCCAGCAGATTTGTGGCCGTGCAGCAGATTTAGCAAGGCAAAAATAATTTGTCTTAATTTTTTCATGATTTCTTATCTCAAATACATTTTAATCTGCAGTTTGATTTGAAATGGCTTAAATTATTTTTGTCAGAGCCATGAAACTGATGGATGTCATGCTGTCACAGATTTCATACTGCCTCATGACAGTATACTCTGAAATAAAAAGTTGACAAAATGCTTCAGATGGTTTTAGGTAATGCCAAAATTCTTACAGAATTTTCACAATATTATTTTTAGCTTGGAGCTCGGAAAGCAATAAAGCTGATAATAATCAGAGTTAATGCAACTATTTCATGTTGGAGAGCAGTGAAATAAGTTGCTCTCAGTTGCACTTGCAAAGCTTTTCCTAGCTGTCTATTTTTGTTGTTTTTTTAGCAAGATTCTATACAGTGGGTTTACAACAGCATTGAAAGTGCACAGGAGGATCTTCAGAAAACAAACACTAAGCCCTCTGGAGATGATGGAGGAGATGCCTTTGACTGCAAAGTGGAAGGTATGTGATTCTCACTTTGTTTTTTTGTTGTTGCTCAGAATGCTGGTGTAGTAACAGGAAAAATATAGGTGGCTTTGTTTTCAGAGAGGAAATTGCAAGCAGACCATATAATGAGTTATATATAAGGATTTGTTTTCTAAAGATGTGAATTTAACATGCTTTTACTTGAAAATTATTTTATTTACCGTTTCAAGAAAGAGTTTCTGTGAACACTTAGGGAAAATATGTTCAATTTTCATTCATAGGATACATAATCTAGGAATTACCTGATTTACTTTCACTACTGGTAGTAATTTAAAGCTAAATTAGATGCATTAGTCACTATTGCATGAGAAATAACAAATCAGGTATCCTTCAGATTATTTTCAGGCAATTAACATTTAGATAAAGCTGTATTCATATGCATCATGGTAATTAAAGATACAGTTAACATGAATTGTATTTATGTTCTCAGTGTAAATGCGGTTATTGTGGTTTCATTTCTGAATGCTGACACTTTTCATGGTCATTTTCGCCTAGTTTATTTAGAAGTTCTCAGTTTTCACCTTTTTTTTATGGTTGCTTTTTTATGTCTCTGATTATAAATGAAATTGAATTAGTCCCCTTCAATAGCTGTTTGTAGACAGAGACTATTATGACTTGTCTAATCATGCCTCTTAAGCAATCTAGTATTGTAGCATCCTGGTGTTCTGATTCTTAAGACATTCAGCTGGTAGCTGGGCTTTTTGATGAACATCCTTAAATAGGCCTGTGTCCCTTTTAGTTTGTTTAGTGGCCAACCCTCCTGAACTGATTTGTGTAATTTCCTTTATTCTAGAGGTAATTGACAAATTTAACACTATGGCAATAATTGATGGGAAGAAAGATCATGTGAGTCTGACTGTTGACAATGTCCATCTGGAGTATGGAGTGGTTTATGAGTATGACAGCACAGCTGGAATAAAGTGCCATGTCTTAGAAAAAATGATTGAACCAAAGGGATTTTTCAGCTTGACTGCAAAGGTATGAATCTATTTTTTGTGTGTATTAGTTCTTACGATGCACTTACATAGAATTGCATGTGCAACTTTTAAAATGTCTTTCAGTAAAAGGAGTAACACAAGATCAGTATTTTCTGTCTCTGAAAGTAAAATAAAGTTGTGCGTATATAGGTGCACACATTGGCAAAATCAAGGAGGAAGAAAAAGAACAGGTGCAACTTTTGAGTTTACTTTGGCATTTTTATTTTGTGAATATTTCCAGATGGTAAAGTCTGTGATTGCTATGAATGGGATGGGATTTTTTTTTTATATGTGTCTGGTACTGTCTGTATCAGATCGACAAATAATATAGTAATACACCTCTTTTAATAAGTTTTTGTTTATCTTTTCACACACGTATGCAAGCTAACAAAGATTGCTTAATAGAGGTACTGAAGCCCAAGTTTTGGGGAGTGTATTAATATCTGCCTGTTTCTTTTTCTGTTGATCTTTCCACCAAAAGTCTAAACTGAAGTATTGATCTTTTAACTGAAATAACTGAGGCATGGGCATGTGTTTCTTTTCCCTAGCTTCGCTTTGGAGCAAGTCCAGTTGACAGACAGGGAGTAACTTCTTGCAGCAACATTGTGAGATTTGCTAGAGCTGGTCTAGTCAATACTTCAGGTCATTATTTATTTAGGTGCCTTTATCTGTATTTTGGGTGCCATAGTTAGAAAGTTATTTTGGGTGTGTTTTTCAAACATGTCTTAAGAGGTGGCCCCAACCAGCAGCAGGCACTTCCCAAGTTCCATGACACAGTGAATTTCAATGCCTGAAATTGTAAAAAAAAATATAGTGCTATATACTACCCTTATATATCTTCAACAAGCCTTTTTTATTCTTGGTTTTCTATAGCCATCATTTGCTGGTGCTATTTCCATCATTGCAGAACTTCAGCCTTTGCTGGGCAGTATAGCTTATTCTATTCCGTTAGCTGTTTATATATGTAGAGCATAGGGTGGATAGCACTCAGTTTTCTTGTATTCTTTTTAAAATGTGTCAGCATTGCTTATACTCCCAGACGAGATTTTTACTACAGGACTTGAATTAATTCATCAGCTTTGCGTAATGTGCACTGTTCAAGTAAATACAACAGGTAATGTATTTCAGAGGAGCCATAATGGTTACATTAGTGGGAAATAAGTAGTTATTAGACAATGTCATGAGAAGCAAAATAAAAAGTACTTATTATGGTATAACTTATGCAGGGGATAGATTTCAAGAAACCTCTTTGCTTCCAAAGTTTTATAAATTGTTGTTATACAGCATTGCCTGTAATGTTAAAAGGCAACTGATACCAGGCTTTTCATCTTTAATTATAAGGGATGATAAGTAAGGGTGTATCCTAGTCATCTTATTCCATAACATACTGCTCTTGTTTTTTTTACTTTAGATTCTTGAAGCACTAGCAAAAAGTGATGAACATTTTGTGCAGAATTGTAACAGCCTCAATTCTTTAAATGAAGTGATCCCCACCGAGCTTCAGAGTAAATTCAGTGTCATTTGCAGTGAGAAAATTGAGCATATCTGCCGAAGAATCTCTAGTTATAAAAAGGTATGTCCTAAGCTTGGAGATGTTTAGCTTTTAAGGGAAATCCAGGAGATTTTGAATAACTCTTCAAAATCTCTATTGCAGTGATGAAAATATGCCTGAAAGTTTAGCTAATTTGAGGCATGAATGCCTAAACTGAATAACTGCATAAATTATTTTCAAACCATGTTATTATCTCTTTTTTTAGACACTGGATAGATCATATCCTTTCTTGTTTGCTGTGTTCAGTTGTAGATACAATCAACTGTGTATTTCCCACAAAAGGGCTTGCATTCTTGTAAATCCCTTAAACCAATACTCTAGTGAATTTGCAGATGTTAACCAAAAATGAAGCAATAGGAGCAGAATTGTTTTTTTCCTTCTAATGTTTTTTATTTTAAATACCAAATCATTACCCTTTTATTCATCTTTTATGCCCTTCAAATTGCTGTAACTTTTTCTAGCATGACTATTAATAGCTCTATAAACTATTAGATTAATTTGGCTTAATAAAACATTGGAACAAGGAAAAACAAAGGTACTGACTTTCACTTGAGATCTAAATTAATGAGATGTGAATGCATAAATGACCTGGACTATGACCTTTGGGTGCTGCCAGTGTTTAGCTAGAGCAGGGCATAAATGAATTAACCATTTGCAAATACGTTAATGCAAACTTATTTTCTCATCCTGGTTTCTCATGCGTCTCCCATACAACTTAATTCTTGGGAGTTTGGAACTAGTTTGAAGTAGACATAAAATGTTTACATATATGTGGCTCTGCCCTGCCTTACCCAAGTTGTGACATTTACAGACTGGCCTGTTTTGAGTTAATGTGCAAAAAAACTGAAAAGAAAAAAAGACAAGAAAAAAGAGGTTCACTGTAGAAGCTTCACACAATTCAAAAAGCTGCGTGGAAAAGAACAGATGATGTTGTTTTTCAAATGAAGAGGAGACTGTGTGGAAAATCTGTAGCTTCAGTAGGATGAAGACCAAAAAGCAGCTTTCTAAAAACTCTTCAGGGTGGTCCCTGACAAGAAATGAAATAAACTGAGAAGCTGAGTCACAGGAGGAGACACTGAAAGGCTTCTGATACTGCATCCAATCTCTCCATCTGCTTAAATTATAAACCTCTGTGTTTTCAAATTGATTAAAAATAGCTTAAGAAAACCACCACCAAATTCAATGCTTTTAACACTAATGATATTGTCTGTAGAGTCTGAGTAACATGTAGGTGGTTTCTACCTTTCCTGTAGCCAAAAATTTTGAGCATGATCTACAGCCTCTTTACAGGAGGCCAAGACAATAAATGAAATTGCATTGTGTTATGCTGGGTATAACGCAAACAGCCTCAGGGAAGTTTACATAGTACTTATACTGTCTAGAAGCAGATATTACTGATACAAACTGCACTTCCAAGCTCATCTGCTAAAAAATCAGTAATTTCAGTTATAGCTTTTAATGACAATTAGTAACGCAGTAAATTTCAGGACTAGATGTGTCATTTTCCTGGCAAGGTAAAGGTAACCATAGTTACAGGAGACTTTTAGAGTGCCTGAGCCCAGCTTGGCTCCTGGTTTCACTGTGGAAGTTTGAGTTCTATAAATAGAAACCCTGTAGATTTCTGCAGTTCCTACTATTATTATTATCAGAACATTTTGCTCATAATAGAAGCCGAGTCCAGTGCCATGAGTCCCAGATGTTTCTCAACACATATATGAAAAGAATTTTGGGCCTGACTTATGACCTGATTAAATCATAGCCAGGCGTTTGGTCTCTCTGGAGCAGGATGTGTGGGAGATTGAGATGTGAAATATGTACTGCTTGCAGGAACATTTTCATCGTTGAATGTCCTTAGTGCCCTTCTTAACTATTTGTACATTCTTCACCCTTCGAACAATTCCATAATTGGATTTCTTGTAACCTTCCAGATCTTGTACTGATATAGAGATTTAAATATAACTAATCAGTCAAATGTTCATCAAGCTGAAGTAATATGACACCAAAATAAAGAGAAATCTAAATCCCAGGACAAAAACCTGTTATTATTCAGAAGGGACATACCTTTATTCAACTGAAGCGTTAGTCAAAACATGACTGATTCAATTTGTACTGACATTTATTATGGAAGGAACTTTGCAAGTTAACTTTGAAAATATTCTTATGCATGAGCTATGCGACGTAGCTGACGTAGGTCTGTGCAATATTTTGACTGTAGAGATACCGTGATTAAAATATCAGGGACTTGGAAGTGATTATGTCTTTTCCAGAAAAAAAAAAAATCTTCCCTAACAACAAACTGCACTCGAAAGGACACGTTTTGACAGAAATCCTGCTTGTGACTGACAAGTCTCTTTCTAAATGAGAGAGCTTTATCTCATGACTTTTATGATTCTGAAGTAGGTCTATTTTCTGAGTGTCCAAATTTAATGCAGTTCAGTCTTAGCCATTTTGGGTCAAAATGTCATCTTAAAAACAAGTAACTAAGACTGTTTGAGAGTATGCACAAAATTTCAGGTGTTATAGTAAGGGACATGTGGCTAAACACTACATTAGACTTAGACCACAGAATGGGGGACCAGGGAGAAGTGTTCATCATTACTGAGCTGATATATAGGGAAGAGTTGGTGGGCTAGAGAAGTCTGAAATATGGTGTTTGCATTTTTTTATGCTCTAGTGTTTATCAGCTTCACAGATTCATTCAAGAACACAGAGTGGTTGAGGTTAGAAGTGACCTCTGGAGGCCTTGCCCAAGCCCCCTGCTCAAGCAAGGCCATCTAGAGATGGTTACCCAGGACAATGTCCAGACAGTTTTTGAGCATCTGCAAGGAGGGAGATCCAGCAATCTCTCTGGGCTGGTTGTGCAAGTGCTTAGTCACTCCCATAGTTAAAAAGTGTTTCCTGATGTTCAGAGTTAACATCCTGTGTTTCAGTTTGTGGCCACCACCTTCTGTCACTGGGCACCACTCGAAAGAGCCTGGTTCTGTCCTCTGTGCACCCTCATCTCAGATATTTGAATACATTGATAAGATCCCCCTGAGCCTTCACTTCTCCAGGCTCAAGAGTCCCAGCTCTCTCAGCCTTTCCTCATAGGAGAGATCTTTCATCATCTTAGTGGCCCTTACCTGGACTCTCACCAATATGTCCATGCCTGTCTATTTCTGGGGAGCTCAGAAATGGACACAGCACTCCAGGTGTGGCCTCACCAGTGCGGAGTGGAGGGGCAGGATCACCTCCCTTGACCTGTGGGCAATGCCTTTGCTAATGCAAGCCAAGAAACCATTTGGGAGGACTTCATCCTGCCTGAATATAAATAATTCATTGCTTTCAATTCTGTCTTTATTTGCTTCAGGCAAAAATTCAGAAATTTTTGCAAGACATTGACTTAAAATCATTTATGTCAGCAGGTCTTTATAAATGGCATGGGTAGTACAGCAGTGGATCATAGAGCATTGTAAACTTTCTCCCCAGGAAGATACTTAATATTGTATTATGTTGCAAGGAAAATAAATTTATCTCCTTGTTACAAGGCTATTTACATTTGTAAATACAATTTATCTCAAAAAACAACCTCTCAAAAATATAAAATGAGAAATACTTTTTTCTTTCCCTTGTAGAGAAAGATGGAAATTATGAAATCAAGGCATCTGAAATCAAGAATGCCTGAAGTATTTTAAACTTTTTTAGTCAGGTGCAAAAGTTTTGTCAACCAAATGCTGACACTTCAAAAGCTGTTAATAAAAATTTTGCTTTCTTTTTCATTTCTAGTTTTCAAGAGTATTAAAAAACAGAGCTTGGCCTACCTTCAAACAAGCTAAGTCAAAGATTTCTCCACTTCACAGCAGTGATTTCTGTCCAACCAATTGCCATATCAATGTGATGGAAGTGTCTTACCCTAAAACCTCAACTTCCCTTGGTAGTGCCTTTGGTGTACAGTTAGACAGCAGAAAACATTCTTCCCATGAAAAGGAGAATAAAAACACTGATCAAGGTAAGTCAGTTGACCTTGAAAGAGCTACTACTTACAGTGCTTCTGATACAGAGTCTTAAAAGGTAACTGGTTTAGGTTTATATCCTAAATACTAGAATTAAGGACAGGTCTTTATGAAATCTCCCTATTTTCAATATTTAGGCTTATTTTCATAGAATCGTAGAGTCACCTAGATTGTAAAAGACCTTTAAGATCATCAGTTCCGACCTATACCTCAGGACTGCCAAGACCACTGCTAAGCCATGTCACTAAGGGCCTCATCTACATGGTATTTGAACACTTCCAGGGATGATGATTCCACCACTTCCCTGGGCAGCCTGTTCCAATACCTGGTCACCCTCTCTGTGAAGAAATTTTTCCTAATATCCAGTCTGGCAACTTGAGGCTTTTACCTCTTGTCCTACTACTTGTTACTCGGGAGAAGCATTTTAAAGCATAATAAAGGCTAGTCATAATTTTGCAATAACTTTTTCCTTAAGTAGCTTGACTTTGATATGCAAAATAAAATGCAAAATTAAATAATTACATAAAGTTTTAAGCATTGAAAATGTTTCAATATCAGATATTTTACTGATTTCAGAATGTGTGTTGAAAAAAAAAGATAATGATGTACCTTTGGGCTGTTCCCAGGTAAACTGAATCCCATGATTTATGTCCAACATACCATTACTACTATGGCTGCCCCTTCAGGACAGTCTCTTGGCCAGCAAGAGGGCCACGGTCTGAGATACCTCTTGAAAGAAGAAGATTTAGAAACACAAGATGTCTATCAAAAATTGCTATTCAAATTACAAGCTGCACTGAAAGAGGTGGAAACATGTGTCTGTCAAATAGACGAGTAAGTAAATGTTACCCTCTGGGCTTGACTTTAATTTTCCTGTTGAAGACACCAATAAACCTGGGTATCCTTTTTGTGTAGTGTAGGATCAATGTTGACTTCAGATAGAATTGAAATAAGGCAAAGAATTCAAGTGTAGGTAATATCCTTTCTTGTTTTTTTCTTGGTGTCCTTGATTTTTTTCCCGCTGTAGTTTGTAGCTTTTCTCTAGAATGTAAGAATGCTAATTATTTTGAGGTGAGAGGAATATGAGGACCCTGTAATCTATAATTTCATTAGGAATGGAAACAAAGGGCAGAGGTATAAAAACAGTTTTTATTGAATTCTTTGGCTGTTGCTGAATAGTCCTGAATATGAATTTGTAGGTAAAGCATTTTTCACCTATAGGAAGATTATTAATTTGTTGGCCATTTTTCAAAACCAAATTGGCCTTGATGAAGAACTATGGATTTAGGGAGAGCCATTGTTGAATGATAAGGACACTTGAATTGAATGTGAGAGACCCAGAATCTCATCACAGTTTGCCCTAATTCAGGGCAAGGATTTAAAATTTGCTTTTCCATTTGTGTGGTAAGTGGGTTGCATGCTAGGCTGTTTTCTGTCTGGGAATGATGGATGAAGAAGGATGATGGGTCTTTCATTTTCAGAGATCCTATATGTAATGTAAGTATCAGAAATTATTCCTTTTGAAAATATGAATAATACCTTTTTTGAGTTTAAAAGCAAATCATTCAGTATCCTGAGTTTGGAAAAGTGGTTTATTATTACTTCTCCTGTTACTTTGAAGACCATACAATGGTTTATCCTTTCACGGTTACTTTAGAGTGGGAAATTTTTTGTACTGTTCTAACAGTAATGTAATGTAATATTTACATAGTAATAAGTGATTTAATGTATTACATAGTACAATAAAATAAGAGTGGCCTGAAGATTTTTAAAAAAGCATTGTTTTCTGTGCCTTTACATAATTCTGCTTATTATCAGGCTGAAAATAATATTGGTTAATTAGTTATTAAATTTAAAATAATTTCAGTGCTTGAGTGCACTTAAAAATGACTGTAAAGCCTGTGTTGCCACTTTTCCTCAAGGAAGTCAGAAAATTATATATGGGAGTTCAGTGAATATTTCAGGAAGCTCCAGTTACCAGTCTACCACGCCTTTCCTTTTCACTCCCTTGAGCTCGTGATGCAACAGCAGAGCCTTTCATACGCATGTGTATATAAACACACACACATATATATAATATATTGTGTGTACAGGTATACATATGTATATTCATATATTGATTTGGAGAGTCACGCAGTTATGACACTAAACGCAAGAGTTCACTTTTGTATTTTATAATTTTCCTGTACACTGACCTGGTTGTAGATTTTTTTTTTTATAAGGTTCATAGTTTTATTTAGGAAATTTTACCTTTTGCTATTTGCAAGACTGACACTTTTCATGCTTTATTCCTCATGGGCTTTGAGTGGACTGCCAGTGTGTAATTACTGTGGAGGAAAGCAGTTCTATACAGGAAGCAGGGTAGCAAAGGGACCTACTTGAAAGTGCAGAAGAGGAGTGAGCAGTTCAGCAGTGCATGGTGTATTGTATTAGAACATAGTTACAGCTGCTAATTAACTCCTGAGAGAAAAGTTAGGACTACTAGGAAACAAAAGATAGAGTAATGAGATAGGATAATCAAACAGCTGTGCCACAATTAGAAAAATTCATATTTCAGCAGTTAGGAGAAAATGTTAGAACAGACTGATGCTTAAACTTTGTAAAGACTGTAGAACTTCTGTTTTCTATTATGACATAGCAACAATAAAATAGATGTCTTTACGTACTGTATTTCTTCTTATTATAAGCAATCTTTATGATAATTTTCTGAGGACAGAAAATATGAACATGATATCACAATTCTAAATGTATGTGATAATGATAGAAAAATTGGGCTACTAGATGGCTCTTTGGTACCCTTTATAACAGTACTATTGAAAAAAAAGTTGCATTTTCATGTTACACATGTGTTGAGGTCAGCAAAGGTCTTTCTCTCAACTCCCAAAATCTTGGGGCAGTGAAATCTGCCCAATGTCTCTGATCTGTTGTGTGAATCAAAGTGAACTGAAAAACAAGTGTTTCATCCGAAGAGCAGGTCTGTGAGAGCTTGTGGATTATGGGATGGAAGAAATGTGTGCTCCTGTCATTACCTTCATAATAACTTTTGTCACGGTTCATTTATGAAATTGGGTTGCATAAGAAATACAGAAATAAGATGGAAAGAGAGAGACACACACATACAAAAAGACATATATACCCTTTCCACAGCCTCTCAAAGTTCCACTGACTCCTCATTCAAATAGTTTAATAGTATGCCAGTACTTCTCTAGTACCATTGCTGGTTACCCACCATTGATGCTATAGGTGTGTTGCAGAAAAAGTCTTAAGTTGTTTTCTACATGGTGATTCTGCTGTTTTCTTGGTTCACATGCACTCAGTGTGCTCCCAGGATCGCAGATGTTTGGTTTTTTTTTTTTTTTGTTGTTTTTTTTTTGTTGTTGTTGGAAGGGTGTCTGTTGGTGGTGTAGAAGAGGCTTGAACATTTTCTGAGCCTTCATGGAGTGAGGAAAAGGCAAAGCAGCTCACAGGTTGTGTAGATTTTCTGTTGCTGCCTCTGGGTCTCATCTTTTAATGCTTTGACTGACATACTTTTGTTTCTGACATACTTTTAAGATTGTGTTGATTTGGGCTGGATATAGGATTAATTCCACATGTGAGGGTTTTTCTGGTCAAGGGTTAAATTTCTCTGTTTAATGGAAATTTTCTTCATCGTTACAGAGCTACTTTCTAGCTGTTAGTTGCTCTTCATTCACATATTTCTCCTAGAGAGATAGATGTCTAAGATAATTCTGCAAAGGGTAGATCCATCTGCAAAAAAAATACAATGTGCATGTGCTGTGTTCAGGAACTGAAAAACCACTTAAAAAAAAAAAGAAAGTCTATTTAAGCATGATCATGGTTTTTTTTTTTTGCATGCAGGTTTGGGTTTGTGTGTTTTAGACCCTGCACTGGGTTTTTAGAGCAATTCAGTGGCCTCAGGAACTACCAGCTCCAGAACTTTGTTATCCAGAGTTCCAGCTTTCGTTCATGGTAGTTCAGCAAAAAAATTTTCCTTAGAAAAAGAGCCTGCCTGCTGAGAAAATGTGAAAAGCTCCCTTAGGAAAAGCTCCAGCTACCTTAATCAGTCTTTTACTGAGATCTTGGCAGCAGTGACTGAAGTCACATAAAAGAAGAGGATATAATAGTCTGTCTGTGTCTTGACAAACAGTTACTCAGGGGAAGATATTTTCAGAAGCTGAAATTGCAGTTCATTATGCTTGTTTCTTACTCTTGATTTTTTTTTTGCAACAACAAAATCCACAAGAAGTTACCAGAATGGATCTGCCCAAAGCCTGTTTTTGTTTTCATAGAAATGGGAATGCAAGAAAAAGCAAAAGTATAGATTAAACCTTGTCTTTAACTCACCTTCCAGCAGGCAGTGTTACAAGGTTTTCTTGGAACAGACTTTTTGTTTTAGGAATATTTCAAATTATCTGCCATGAATTTGTCTAATCCCTTTTTGAACTCCTTTTGTATTTTTGTGTTCAGAAAATAAGTTTTACAAGTATGAAGCACTGATTTTCTAAGATTTACATTTTCATAACACATTTATTTAGTATATGTTCAAGAGCATGTATCATGTAGCAGGTTGACTGAAACTGAATAGTGCTGCAAAATACATGCCCCATCTTTCTTTCTGTCCTCATGGAATTCCATGGAATTTCCATGAGGAATCCATGGAATTCCTCATAGGAAATGCTACCTAGTAACCTAAGTGGTAGGGAAGAACTGAACTGAGATTTCACACTGATAGGAAGTAGTAAGGCATCGTGTAGCCCAAAAGATGTCTGTCTAGTGGATGGGTGGGTTTAAAGTCCAGTAAAATTATACCTTCTGTGACATTTTTCAATACTTTTGTTACAGTTCAGATGAATACCTTTTCCTGTATGTACGATAAATACCTATCTCTTGTTAGCTCTTAGCTAGAGAAAGTTATGCAGAAATGATGAAAGGATTTGCTGAAAAGCTTTACGTGTCATTGTTTTTTCCCTAAAGTTAATGCCAAACCCTGTGTTAACATCTATCAGGTTATAATTCCAATGAAACCAAGGTTGATACACCATTTGAGGTATGTATTCTTTGCTATAGAGTCCACAGGCAGCATTATAGGGATAATTTACCCTATTGCATTGTTGAAGTGTATGGTTTCTTAATTTCTTTCTCAAAACTCTGTCCGTTCCTGAGAGTCAGAAAATTATTTGTTTGTACTCGAAACAAGTTATAGTTGAACATGGTGTTGAACACATTGTCTGTGTTTTGTATGCAAAAGGTCACTGCTCTCAGTCCAGAAATTTCAATGCTCAAGAGCACCTTAGGATCAGGTTGTTTTCTGGTAGAATATCTTTGTCAAAAGAGTAGAGAAATTTATAGCTCAGTACTGAACTGTAGCTGAACAAACTTTAGTTTGTTAGGATTAAGGATGAATTACTTCCACTGGCAGAGGCCCACAAAATGAAGAAGGAGCTTTAAACCACTTAAATCAGAATTCCTCTTTTGTGTAATGCAACAATGCTAATATGTGTGGCAAGAAATAAGACTAAAGGGAAGAATTCTGAATGCTACCCTTTAGTAACAATTAGGGCAGCATTTTTGTTTGCAAAATATGTGCATCTCCCATAGCTTCCATTCAGAAGTAAAAATTAAGGGAAACAAAAAGATCTAACATACGTTGGAATCCTGCCATGTATTTGGTAAAAAGTTTGCCAGTTGACTATTCTGAAAGCTCCTACAATAAAACTCTGCTACTGTGTCTAAGTACTTTACAGAAAAAAACTCAGCTTAATCAGTGTCTTCTGATTTCAGGTAGCTAGATAGTAATTTCTGCAAGAAAAAAATGTTGCCTTTCATATCTAAATACTAATTTTAAAATGTCATTCTAAGTAATAGAAATTAGAGGATGATTTCCCATTATAGCTATTCCGGTCTTTAAAATAAATCAGAACATTTCAGTATGAGTTAATCACCAAAAATATGAATCCAGTACTTCTGCATGTTCTAAATGTAGTGGTCTGCCCTGTTCTCTCTTCTTGACTGGATGTTACTTTTATGCTTGTCACAGAAGCTTGTAGATTAATAATCAGTTTTACTAGTGATAGTGGCTTAGACTTTTTGTAAGGAAATACACAGATAACGTTAATAAAGATTCTTAGAACACCTTTATTGAATAGCTTGTGATGCAGGCTGGCAAGTCTGGTACAGTAGTAATTGTAAATATATATGCTTTTCATACAGATAGCTTCTTTGGTCTGTTTTCTTGATTTGTGCTGACAAGTGCATGGTGCAAGTTTAAAAACAGTCATGTTAATATAAAATTTTACCCCAGGTGTTCAAGAATGTGCTGTATTTCTTCCCCAGCTGGAATCATTATCTTCATACCAGATTGAGTATTTGGTAATGCTAATGGATTTCACTGTTACACTTTTTAACAGCAGAATGTGTCACATTTTTCCCCTTTTTCAAATAGATATGGGGTGAATTAAGATCACATATTATAGAATAGTAGTTGGAAGACATTGAGGAGAAATGTTATTCTGTGTTTAGCTCACTTTTGAAAAACATAAATTTATCTTTTTCTGTTTTATTTTTTTTTCTCAGCCTTCTTTCTTCAATAACATACTCTCCCAAATCAGAACGTAAAACACCTGAGCCTTTAATGCCAGCAGACAGTGATAATGAAAAGGGGGAAAGGAATGGGAAGAAAGTCTGTTTCAGCATGACAGGTGATGAACAAGAAGATTCTGGTCATGATACTATCAGCAACAGGGATTCTTACAGGTAACTTTTATAATAATATTTCTTTTTCACAACTGAATCAAACCTGTGGGTTTGTACACTGTCAAGTGATTATAAAGACTATCAGAATAGAATGATTCTGAGATTTCTAACAAAGAAATAACTAGCATCAAGATGGATAAATAAGCTCTTTTAAAAATAGTACAGGTTAGATATTAAATCTCAGTATCCCTAACTTCTATAGGATACCACAGCCAGAGCTGTAAAGCTTTACTTTGGATTCCCTGTCTTATAAAAACCAGAAATAATTTCTATTATTATATTCCAACAACAAATCAAATTATCTACTATGGAAAGCAAGGTTCCAGGGCCTCTACCCTTGCTGATCTAAAGAAAGAAAATACCTGTTTTCTCAACATATATTGCTCGCCTTCTTCCACTCTAAGTATCCATCACCTCATCTCAAATATAAAGAATTTACAAAGAAAACACAGAACATTTTGAAAAGGAAGGAGTAATTATAGGACAAATAAGTCTTTTTAAAGATTATCTTCTCTTGTTTACAAGAATTGGTTAACTACACAGTATCAAATCTAAATTGAAATTTTAGCTGCAAGTAAAATAAGTGTTCATTAAGTGTTCATTATCATGGTTCATTATTATGCTCAGAAAGTAGAATCTCAGTAGTGCCATCATATTTCTACAGAACCCTGTGTTGCTGAGATCTCTTTCATAAGCTAATATTTAATTACTGCAGCATGATAGGTAAGAATTCGGTCTCAGAGTAGAAACGGAAATATGCATATAAATCTGAACAGAAATAAATGTAAAGGCAATTTGCACAGATTAAATCCATCTTGTTCTAACCATGATGAACACACAATCAAAATGAGTGAAGCATGTTTAGGGGTTTCTGAAAGTTTACGATGTGTCAAACTGACTGTGCAGGAACAGCTTCAGTGGCCTGTGCTTGCGCCAGATGGGGAGTTTCCCACTTGGTACAAGATTTGTATGTGTAGAAAGAAGGTGTGACTTAATACACAAGCATCAATTTGTTCAAAATATTTTCTTTATTATGATTCTGGTCATTTATAGTTGATTCTGAATGATAAATCTAGGGTTCCATACGCAGAATAATAATAAAATTCGTGAGTTTAGAAGAATTGTTGGAGTGAGATTAAATATTTTGTTTCTTTGCTTAAATAATTGCATTAGTAATCAATATCTTCAGATACCATTATAGTGCCACTGTGATCATTAGAACTAGTAGGCTAATTTCAGCCATTAGAATGCTCTCATTTTGTGTTGTAGGGTCTTACTCTAAACCTTACAATACTACACAATGAGACAGCTAATACATCTATTGTGTTTCTTATTTTCCTGTGTTTTATTTTCTCATGCTTTGCACAATCCAGTTTTAAATAACCTTCATCTCTCTTTGGAGACTTTAATAAGTGAGTTGAGTTAGAAAACATTTCTTAATATCCAGCCAGAAATTCTTAATACTCCTTGGGACTGTTCACCCTCAGTTAGGAACATTTTGTTACTTATGTCTTTTCATCTACTTAATGGATATGATTGTAATTAGATTGTATTGCTTTATTGAAAAGTTTTCCCTATTGACTTACCTGGTTGTCTACAGGTCCAAAACTTACACCTTACCCAGGAAATGGAAGTCTGTATGCCAAAACTAGTAAAAGACCACTTCTGTACTTACAAAAATAAAAAAAACAAGGAGGGAGCACATTGGTACATGTACAGCTGTACCATTATGTGTAAAACAGATACGTATACCTTGATGAATGAGTACACCCAATTCATAAAACCCAAATTGAGGTCATTATGTATAAATATCCTTTGGGTACATTTGTACATTATCTTATATTTACGTGGGTTTTTAAGACTCCCTCTGCTGGATAATTACTTAAGCATTTCCTGCATTGAAACTAAATGATCTTCAAGCAGCTTAATAACTCTGAAGACTTTGAATTAAAATTTATCTTCTTAGGATTTTTATATTATCTTCTTCAAATTTATCTTCTTAGGATTTAGTACAAAAGGCTAAGTTTTACTCTACCTATGCTGCAGAAATAGGTATGTTTTCCATGTATTTTCTGTATAGAACAATTCATTTTTGAGGGGAAAGAGCAGAAAAAATTACACATTTTAATCCCCAGATCTCCTCACTATACCAGTGTGGGTGATACTTTCTGTGCATAGAAATTTTCACTGAAGTAACAGATGTAAATTTCTGTTTATCTCTAACAAAGTGAAAATCTGGAAAAGATGGGATCATAAACCTTATTTTCACTGGCAGGGAAAAATAGTTTGTAATTTGAGCTTTGGTGCTCCTTGAATGGTCAAGTCTCTTCTAAACATATTAGGGACTCTAGTTTGCAAGTCATAAACCAGAGTATTTTGTCTTTTATATTAGCCATGTACTAGGAGTAAATAATTTAAATGTGGAGTTACAAAAATTTTTGGGGCCACAGTTACAAAAACTGTTGCACTGAAAGTTCTGTATTATCATTTGGAAGTACTTGTTCACATGCAAGGTGGAGGGAGACAGTTGAATCGTCAGTTTTGGTAATCTGGTATGCTGAGTCCTAGCAGAGTTGCAAACTAGATGATAATCTATATGTGGGGATATTTATTGTTGATAACTGTACAGACCATCTCATCATTACATTTAAAAGGGGAAAAGAAAAAGAACTTTCATAATTTTGGTACAGAACCTGTGTTAAAGAACATGACTTTATTTTTTTTTCTTGTTTGGTCTTCTCTTTTTTCGAAGCGATTGCAACAGCAATCGGAACTCCATTGCCTCGTTCACCAGCATTTGCAGCAGTCAGTGCAGTTCGTATTTTCACAGTGATGAAATGGATTCAGGTATGTTTAGAAAAGTCAGCTATGAATGTGTCATCCATTCCTTTTATTCAGGTTTGGGGGGTTTATTTTCCTTTTTTTTTTTATTTTATTTGCCTGTCAGTTTTGTTGGTTTTGTTTTAAAAAGTGCATCCTCCATGGTAATAGAAATGTTTCATTTTGCTTCTGCCTAGCTAGTGCTGCACTGAGTCCTTCTGTGAAAGAGCGTCAACATTCCAGCATTTCTCTGAATAGACTGAATTAGTTAGAGCTCTTAGAGTCATTGCTTTTAATCACTTTAATGCTTTGACCTTGACAGTGATTTATATTGCACAGAGTAAGGATCATTTTAGGTGAACGTGAGCACTCTCTCAGCTTGTGTTAGCCCCCAGACGGCAGGATATGGCTGTGTATGTTTGTAGGAAGGAATGTGAGACCAGATAGAAGCGCATTCTTGTTTATGCCATGACAAATTGAATTTAAGTAAATGCAGCTGCTGATAGGAATGAGATGGAATTTAACAGCATGGAGTACAAGGTCATATACTTAAGGACTAATAGTAAAAAAATGTTTGCTCTAAGTTGGGAGTTTATAATTTGGGAATGATTTAGGAAAAGAAAGAACTGGGCATATTAGTTGAGTATGAGCCACCAGTGAGACCTGGCCTTAAAGAAGGCAAGTTTTATTACTGGTTTTACCAGGAGAGGTATTTTCAGTTGGGACATGCAAGTATTAATGACGTGCAAGGTATCTGACATACCTTCTGAATAATGCAGTTCTAGGCAGCTATGTTCCGGAAATACTTATAGAGCTGAGCAGATAGAGAGGAAAGGATGAAGGCATGAAGAGCTGTTAATAAAAGAGGAGACCAACTCTTTTGGTCTGTATCCAACTTATATGCACTTGTGCAGTATCAAGCTGAAGTACTGAGCTGCCAAAAAGAATATGTTTGTGCTAGCTAACTGCAGATACAGTGTTCAAGTTGATAAAAACTGGTGCTCAGTGAAACTCCCGCTCTTCTGATGACTTAATTTTCTCCTATTTCCCAAGCTAACCTGGTTAACTCCAGATCAGGGCCCTTTGACACCGTGCTCCATCTGTTGCAATTAAGATCCTGTGAAGGTTTATAAGGCTTGTAACTACTGCCTGTAAGGACATCTAAAGGAGATAAAAAAAAAAAAAAACAACAAACCCAAGGAAAGAAAAGTGCTATTTAAGTGCTTCACTGACATGAGAAAAATGAGTCTAGATTGACCATGAATAAATTTGGATTATAAATTATCAAGTGGCTACTTCTTATCTGTCACTGCAGCAGCAAGGAGAAAAAACAGTTCTAAGCTCAATTTTTCACAGCTTTTGAAGGAGTTCAGGTTGCATCACCCATTGTCTGAGAGAGCAAGTGAGTGACAGCAGTGACCAGGAGAGTCTTTCTCCTTTGTATTCTCTTTAAGAAATGATGTTGTATATACTACTAAAAGCTTCATATCAAATACAGGATTTGGATGCTGGAATTTTTTTTTTTTAATTACTAAAATCTCAGAACTATTTAATCACTAAGAAGATAAAGATTGTGAATTGTCTGTAGAAATTTATTTAAATTTTTATCCCTATAAATATTTTATGGTGACTGCATTTCAGTGACTCTGTGGTCTGCTGTATTGGGTTCACAGTACTTAGCCATTTAGTCTGGTGTTTAGGATGTTTTCCAGCATAGAAGTATTGTGTGCTGTGGTCACAGAATGGTGGAGATTTGAAGGAACCTCTTGAAATTATCCAGTCCAATAGCCCCTCAAGCAGGGTCATATAGACTAGGCTGCCTAGTACCATGTCCAGTTGGGTTTTGAATATGGTCCATTCTCTAAGAGCTATTTCTATAATATCAAGTGACTACTATGCAAAATGCATGGAGAGAACAGTAACTATAATCTTGAAAGCCTGAGCATCACTATGTGTGCAAAGCAGATTATCTAAACCACAAAGATTTTGGAAAATATGCTGAAACTTCTAAACAATTTTCCATTTTAAAATATTTTTCAGGTGATGAACTTCCCATAAGCGTTCGAATCTCCCATGATAAACAGGACAAGCTCCATAGCTGTTTGGAGCATCTTTTTGGTCAAGTATGAGATTATTTTTCTTGGCTTAAATGCTAATGTCCATATTTGAACTAAGATGTCTTTAGCAAATACTTCTTTTTCTTTTTACTCTTGCTTTCCACTGTTTACTGGGATGGTATGTATTTACTCATTCTCCTTCAGTTTTCTGTAAATAGTTCAAAACTGCAGATTAAACAGGTCCTTAGGTTTAGTCTAACATTCCCTAGCTTGTTACTTGAACTGGAGCTATTAGGTAACAAAGAATCCAAAGATGCTCTTCTGTAGTCTGCATTTCTTAAAAAAATATTTCTAATCATTGCTGTAAAAAACATCTTTCTCACAGAACATTGATCCCAACAGGTTGATTCAATTGTCAATCTTCTGAAAGGACCAGCTGTGATGAGGGCCTTTGAGCAGACAAAATACTTCACACCGGGTCGAGGCCTCCAAGGTAACATTTAATTCTATCTATGAGAATCAAAAGGCAGCTTGAAGGGTACATTGATATGGCTATGTACTCATTGAGCTGGGTGTTAAGGAAGTGATTTTGCTTAATCTTGGCCTATTCTGCAGTAATTGATTGTTGAAATTCTTGTTAAATAGGTCTTAGTTGGAAACTAGCTTCTTATACTTTTGTTGCACAACATATGAAAAAACTACAGGTTTGTTTGAACATGAACTTTAGTTAGATTCTGAGCTGACTATGGAATTGCACAGGTTTTTGAAGCAAAAACCAGGTTTTATATATTGCAGGTGTTTTCTTTAAATTTTTGTCTCAACTACTGAAGCCATTTCTGATCTATTTCATTACTAGTGTCAGTTTTTTATTATTCTCTGTAGGTATATTGTGAAGTTGACTTATAAGTAATTTGCAAATGTAAATTTTTAGTCATAGTAATATTTCTGCCAAATATGTTTATGTGTTATTAATTGCTTAAAAAAATCCTGTAATTTCAGGTACCCCTCTCACACTCAGTGATTGCAAAATTCGAAATGTATAAATAGGTATCTGGTGGTAGTCGTAAGATTGTGATGAAAAATGCAAAGGGCTTTTCAGTGAACTGAGTTTTGTTTGGTTTTGGTTGGATTTTGTTGTTCAGTGTTTCGGTGGGGTTTTTTTGGTTGTTTGGTTTGTTGGTTTCTTTTAATATGTATAATAGGTTTGATCATTATTTTATTGATCCTGCATGTGTGTTTTTGGCAAAGAAAACTAATTTTAGATAGCCAGAGAGTGCATCTTTGGCTTTTATAAACCACCAAAGTCCCACTGAAGTCAACAGAGCAGAATTACTTTATCTCAATTACCTGGTTTTACAAAGCCTGAAGTACTTCCTCCTCACTGAATTTGTATGGAAGACCACATACCCTCCTCTTTTTCTTGATTCTCTCTTTATTTTTTTCTCTCTCTCTTATTAATTTATTCTCTGATTAAATTAGTTTTGCCACTGAAAGGCTCTGTCTTACATACCTGGTTCAGAAGTACCATGTTTGGGAATGCTCCTTTTGAGTAAGTAGGGAGCTTAGATGACTGTAGACCTATCACAGTAGTTTTAACTAGAGTTAAATAAGTTGACAACTACTTGAGCTGTGAAAATATTTAAGAAAAAAATGTCTTACTGTGGCTTTCTCAGGAGGGTTCAGCAGAAAAATATTATTTTTGTCCTTGCTTAGAGTTTCAGCAGGAAGTAGAACCAAAGCTTAACTGTCCAAAGAGGCTACGACTCCACATCAAGCAAGACCCTTGGAACCTGCCCAGCAGCGTCCGGAGTCTTGCCCAGAATATCAGAAAATTTGTTGAAGGTTAGTAAGAGCAATGTGACCATAAATAAACACTTCATTAACGATAGAAAGCCTGGGGAAGGGGAAAGATACAACTGCTTCATGTTGCTGCTCGGCAAACTTTGCTGAACACAGTGTAGTCTATGGGGAACATCTGAATTTCAGGACTTTTTTGTGTTCTTAATAGCAAAGTTAGTGGAGTATATATCAGCTGTCTCATGCTCACCCTGTTGGCTTTGGATACCAAAGAGAAAATTGTCTCTTCTGACAAGTGAAAACCAATGTAGCATGTGCTATATTATTTCAGTTGCTGCTAGTGTGGTGGGCTTAACTGGTTTGTCACAGAACTTCATGGGGTTGATTTACCAAAATGGGCTTTCCTTGAGATTAAACTCACTTTCTTCTACTGTCTTGACTGGAAGATGAAGACTCTACAGGACAGCTTTTGTCATATCTTATCTGTCACTGATATGGAATCATTATCCTTCTAAGATCATGCTCTATTCTGTCATGAAGCCAAACCTCTTGCACTGGTTGTCGCTTGCTCCATCACAATTGGTCCTATCATTCCCCCTCCCTCCCTAAATATTGCCTAGTAGTCTGCTCCTCTTCACCACCAAGTGACAATGTGAGCTGGGTTTTTCTCTTCTCTCTCCTGGCTTGATAATAAAGTAACTGGAGTTTCATCTCCAGAAAATCTTGCCTGTAGCTTCTGCTTTATTTCCTGTGCTGTTTGATAGAGAAACAGAAATAATGAGCAAAATTATTTTTATAAAACTATTTTCACTAGGACTCTACATGGGAATAAAAACTTGTGTCATGTCTAGCTTTAAATGAACTGTGTGTATGTTTAGTTGCTTTTGTTTTGTTCGCTAGTTTTCATGGTGTCCCATGGAGAAACTGCTGAATTTCAGATCTGGAAAAGAACTTTGTGATAGCTTCAGTAAGATAAACCTCCACAAACCAACTGGCCAAAGCAAACAAACTTCTCCTTCTCTGACTTTTGGTGTTTCTCATTTCAGATACAATCATATTTTAAGACCCTGGGTTAGAAAATTATAAAAACAACCACAAAAAAAATCTCCTGCTTTTTCAGTCAATTGGAGTGGGTTGACACTCAAATACTAAGAATTCTTCTTTTAGTTTCATGGTGGCTGTCACTAAGTGAAAAATGAATAAATATTTTCAGGTCCTTTTTAATATGGGTCTATCTTCAGCCTAAATGAAATTATATTCAAGTGTTAATCATGGTTTCTTTCCCAGTTCAGGAGGAATAGAAATGTGTCTTTAACAGTCATTGCCCTTCTTGCAAAGGCAAGCCTAGCAGGCTGGTTTCACATAACTTCTTTGCCCTTAAATAGAATAGACTTAACCCATTTCAATATTGGTCATACACCCTTAATATTGAGCTGAGGTTATTCGGATAAATTTGCGTTGAAATCTACAACAGAATATTGTGGGAGAGTTCAAGAAGGTCCAAATGGCTTGCTGCCTCTGTAAAATACAAAACTCCTATTTTTACAATATGTCTCTAATGTAATGGTGATATTTATCGGAAGGAATCTTGATGTTCACAGAACAGTAATAGTATAGGCATTATCTAGTATTTTTGAAATTAGGATTAAAAAGGTTTTCTCTGTTAATAAATGACAGTAATTAAGTTTATTGCAACTGTCATGCTTGTCAATGGTGCATGATTCAGAGAGCTAAATAGTAAAAGGCATCAGTCTTGTGCTGTTCAAGGACAGCACAAGCTTTGTCTTACTGTCTTTCATCACTGTCTAAGAAGTTGTCTGCCAGTTTTACATATTCTTGGCTCTCCCATTCCATCTATAGCATTTGAGCTTTTGTCAGAGATTTCTGTCTTCTGTGCCATTTCCTTAACCAAATACATGGGTTTACATGTAAAATTACCATCTTAGGTTGTTTATTCTCCATTAGTCTTTACAGCTCTCTACTCTCTTGTTTTTTGTTTTTTATTTTTATTTGATTCCTATTCCACACCACCCCCCCAAACTGATATCAGTAATACTTGGTCCTGAGAGGTACTCTGGAGAATCGTGTTCCGCATCTTCATTGAAATTTTAATTGGCCTGTTGGACCAAGGAGTTGGTGTGAGGTAGTGGATACCCAAAAGCCTTGCTATTTGTGCCTTATGATTTCCCTGGCACAAATAGCTTAAATGGGAGAAGTAAAAGAAAGGAAATGAATAATTGCTTCTCAAGCATTAGTTTCCAAGACATGTCTGGACTGGTATATGAATTCAGTGTTGAAAAGATTCAGGGCAGAAATGTGTCGCTCAGTCAGTTTTGATAGATTGCTGTGATTTGAAAAGGCTTTGGCCTGTATAGATTATATATATTTTACAATTTATATTTTAATATATAAATTTATATATTATATATATAAATGTATAATATATAACAGATAAAATTTATATTTTAATATATGTTTCTATATTAAATTTGTACCCTGGATAAATTAAACTTGAGATACAACCACCAGCTGGATCTAGCTGAAATCAGACGAGCATGAAGTAAGGTTTGGTGCAGGAGAGAGCAGTAGTTAGGGGAGGAATTCAGTGGTCACCAAACAGAGAAAGAATGTACAGGATTCTGGATGTACATGAGATATGTAACATGAGAATCAGAAAGTACTAGAGGAAAAGCTGAAGAATGACTTGAGTAGCAACCTGGAAAACATGAAAGATGTTTGGAAAGAAAGGGACTCTTCAGAAGGAAAGTGTTACCAAAACTGGCTGTAACAACAGAAGGATGTAAGTGAACAAAAAGGAGGAGAAATTTCTGTAGTTGCTTCTTCCTAAAGAATAAAAGGTAAGATTTGGTGTCAAAAGAGTTTTTTTTTTACAGCAAGTCAGATTTCTAGTCAGCTAATCACATAACTGCATGAGGAAGTGCAGTATTTTGCTCGCACAGTAATTTTAAACAGGAAATAACTGTGCAACTGAGAAAATTCACATCTATTTTAACTTAAAAGTGAGGAGTGAAGCACCCTTTCAGTGATTACAGGTATAAAAAATATATTTCAACTTAAATCATAAAACATGCAGTGCAAATCTCAGTCTTATTTTGGAAATACTTTCAGATGCATGAAACAAAATAAAATTAAATGTAGCCTTTACTGGCAAAAGATTAGAATAGCAGAATAACATGATTAAAAAAACAAACAAACCAACCCAAAAGAATGTTTAGGACTAAAAGAAATTGAAGGCATCTTAAATTACAAATCATATAACCTAAAATGAAATTGTTAGGTAGCTATTCCTTTCCTATGTAGCAAGAAGGGGTGAAAATTTCCATTGTATTTCGAATTTGTTGAAAAGCAAATAACTGACATCCAACCCCAGGTAAGTCTCTACTTACACAAATAACCTAAAAATACTGTTTTGCCTGTGGGTATATTTTGAAATGGAGAAGGCTTACTGCAATGATAAAGAAGAGCTACAGTGTTCTGTAATTTTCCCATAAGCAGGAAGTCATTATTTATAGATACCTCAAATGCCTTTGAATTTAGAAGTCCAACAAATCTGATGTAAATCAAACTGCAGGTTATAGCCTCAGTGTATCTAAATTCTTCAGAGAAAAGCTGTATTTCTCTATAGAAATTAGTATTTTCAGTTACTAAGCTACGTTCAGACTCCAAGATGCCATATTATAAATCTCTGTAAGTGGGGTTTTGTGTTTGTTTGGTTTTGCGTTTTCCCCAAAAGACAGAAGGCTAAGGAAAGACCCATCTCCCAGCAATTTTTAAGAATAACCAGTAATTTAAGGTGTTTTGATGCTTGTATTTGAGATACCGAGGGCATGCTTTTCAGAAGCATAGGCACTGCCAGTTCTTTTCACAATGTGTGTATAGCATGGATGAAGATTAGGCTTGAAGGGTTTTCTTCTGTTTTTAAGCATACTCACCTTTGGGAAAGATTCTGGCTTTTCATAGATATGCTCAAGTACACACAGAATCCAGACTGTGCTGTTGATACTGTCAGCTCCAATGTCAGTTCCATCACCCGATTTGTAGTCAAATTTCAAACAATTCAGGTTTCAGGCTTATTATAAGGTTGTTTTTAGTAGGGGGCATCATATAACCAAATTGTCCTATGTCCATATACCCTATAGCAGCTCTACTGGCCCACTGAGAAGGGCTTGAAATAGGGCTGCACGGAAAATTGGGTGTGTAAAATAAAGTTTGGAAAGATGCAAAAGGATGTGAAGTAGCAGAGTATTCCTTCAGGCGGTTACTGTAGGACAGCTGATGTGCTGGATGTTTGACATTCTCTAAGGTTATGGCAGGTCTTTAATCTGCCAGTTCCTTGTTGTGGTGGTTTTAACTCATTTAGATTTGTGCTCTGTCTTGTATGTGGCAGAGGGGAAGAATCATTTCCTTCAGCCTTCGTACTTTAAGCCCCTAAAAATGAAAGTAAAAGCAAAAATAATTAAAAAAAAAAGTAGAGAGGTATAAACCCAAATTTTTGTCAGTGTAAATTAAGACTTTTTTTTTAAAAAAAGATTAAGTGAAAAGAAATGAATCAAAATAAAATCCTGAAGGCTGAGAATAAAGTGAAGTGGTGGTTGATTTTTTCCTGGATGCCTTGGTATATATTGAAATGAGGATAATGGAAAGGAGAGGGAAAACAAAAAAGGAAAGAATTGGGGTAGTGTGGGAATCAATTTTAAGAGTGGAATTCTTCATATATGGACTTCCACTGGCTAGCTGCATGGACTCTGAGATAATAGCTGCCTCTTTGTGCATTTGATTATTGTCAATTTTATTAAATCACGTAAAATTAAGTGAGGCTGAGACTCATTACTGTTCTGTAGGTATAAATCAGGGTTGCCTATGCAGGAAGTTGGACTTAAGGCTGGTATGAAATTATTATTGTGAAAACACTTTTAACCATGACTTCAATCCTCAATGTTACTTTTTTTTTTTCTTTAAGAGGTGAAGGCACGAATCCTTTTGGCCCTTCTTGAATATACAGGTAATTTTGTTTTTTTGGGAATGGGGGAAGTGGGGAATGGTTTGAGGTTTGCGGTTTTCTGCTTTTGGACAGAATACTGTGTTTAGTGGAAGAGAAAAAATCTCAGATGCGATAACCTGATAATCAACAACTTTACCCTTATGTTTACAGTGAGGATTCCTGAAGAATACAGCAATTCCAAAGATATTTCTACCAAATATTGCACATTCTTTTAGTTTTTTAATGCAAAAATACCTTCCCTGGTCATTTACTGTGGATCTTGGCAGACGAAGTAACTACTATCACTGAGCTTGTGCACACTGCTTCTGCTTTCTTCTGTTGTGCTTTTTCCTATTTGCTATCTTTTTTCTTTTCTATCTCCATCTCTCTATCTTCATGCTTATTGTAACTCAAACCTTTCTTTTATTTTTTTTTTTTTGAGAATATATATTTTTTAAGTCTCTCCTTTTTGGAAGGGGTCTGATTATTTTGTATATTATTCTAGCATCACCCCAAAAAAGCATACAGGTTCAAATACACAAAATTGTCATGTTTGTCTGCAAAATAAATACCAGTAAATCAGTATTCTCTACTGTTTGCAGGTGCATAAGTGTTCAACTAACCAGTCACATTTGACTGTAAAAGACTGTCAGATTTCTTCCTAATATCATAAAAGCTCTTAATAATTTCTCAGGTGTTCTAAAATAAGAAATGACCTAAGAAAATGCCTCAGACTTCATTTTTTCTTTTAAAGTAATTTTCCCTGTTTACATGGTTTTATAAGACTAAATTCTGTTATTTATTTTCTATAATAATCCTTTTGTAAAAGGAGCCCAAAGTGCTCTTGTATGCAGTATCTGATGTTCAAGTAGTATTAAATGAGGTGCCGGAGACACAAGAGGGCTGCTTCAGAAGCAGGAAGAACAGGAAGGCACTGAAAGTCAGCTGCTGTTAGACAAATAGGGATAAAATTGAGCAAAGTGAGGAGAGAAAATGTGTGTTGGGCTCAAATCCCTGAGCACTGCTGTGACATTGGAAAGTTTTTGACCATGGAGAAGCCAGTGGGATTTTTGAAGCTGGAGATGGGTGGAGGTTTCAAAGATGCAAATTCTGTCATTAGTGGATTCTGCACAACTTCAGAGGTTGAAGAGAGGGGTTGATTTTCAATAATCAAAACAGAAAGCAGTGAGTCGTAGTGCAGAAGCAGTAGTGGTTAGAGAGTTTATGGCAAATATTCTTGAATTTCTGAGAGGCTGGCAAATGAGATCAAAATGATAATAAAAGAGTGGTCACTGTTATCAATAGTAGAGGAAAAGATTGAAGATCTCAGGAGGAAAACAGACAGAATGGAGTTGCTTTGAGAAATAGTTGAGTCCAAGAAAAGCATATTTTTAAAATCAGTATTAGTTTTGTGAGTACAGAATTATGTCTGCTGACTTGCCCAGTCATATAAAGTCTTGCCAGCTCCTTGGAGAAGGCAGCAAAGGAACCAAGCCTCCTAGAGGCAGAGGAATCACAAAGTGAGGGCAAAGATTTTAGGTTTTGGAAAGACCTCAATATCACCTTATCTTCTCTTGCTCTGAGAAAGATTAAGTCTACCTGTACCATTTGTGATTGATGCTTGCCTAACAGCTTCTAATGATAAAAATACTTGAAGACCTTCAGGAAAGAGGGGAAGAAGGAAGTACTGAATATTTATCACCACAATTCTGTGCTTTATTGAGAACATGTTTTCCTTTCTAACTCTTTTGACCTTTAGCTAATGTAATGCCTGTGCCCTCCAGAATAAATTGGTAGGTTAGCTAGTCTGTATATTAAATCAGCTGCTAATGATTCCATGGACTTATACTTAGGGACCTGTCCTGGACTTTCTTGACACCATAAATCTCTGCTGCTTCCTGGGTATGTGATGCTGCTCTGTGCTTATTTTATAGGTTTCACATTCATATATACATTATGTTTGGATTGATTGTGGTTCTGGTAGCAACACTACTGTATGCCTTGTTTCCAGTTTAGAGCAGGCAGTCTTCATCTGCCCTACTCAGCTGGTAGCTGTGGAGTTGACCAGGTGATTCAGTCATATTAAGAGCTTCTGACTAGCCTTGCTTTCCTCTGAAAAGTAAATGGTTTTGTGCCCAGCTGGTTTTCACATTGCAGCAAAGAGATCCGACTCGCATCTGTCATCTTGTAACATCCAAAGTACATAGTATCAATGGCATATACATTAACTGCTATAAAATAAACACACATTGTTTATGGAGAACTATTTTAAATTCCAGTTTTTAAATGGATTTCTGTGTAATTTTAGAATTGTAAAATAATCCTTTAATGTGGAAAATGGTAGTTTTGGTCATGGAGTGCTATTTACTGGGAATAACATTAGGCTGTAAACTTGTAATTTACTTTACATTAAAAAGACTTGTTTTTTCAACAAAGAAAAGAATTCCAGCCCAGTTCCTTTGCTGTTAATTAATTTTATGCTCCATTTTTGCTTTTCCTCTTTTGGCTTTTACCCATAACAGATAGTGAGATACAACTGAGACGAGACATGGTCTTCTGCCAGAGCCTAGTAGCCACAGTCTGTGCTTTTTCAGAGCAGCTAATGGTGGCCTTAAATCAGATGTTTGATAACAACAAAGAATATGAAATGGAGACGCTGGAGGCCAGCAGAAGGTGGTTGGAACAAATAGCAAGTGCAGGTCTTCTCCTTCATTTCCAGTCCCTGCTTTCACCTAACCTGGTAAGAGCCCTCGTGTGACATGCTTGGTCGCAGCCCGTGTTTGTTCCCTGAACCAGGGGCATGGTTAAACAGTCTTAGTTATAAATGTGATTTTCAGTGTCCTTAGTGCTTAGCTTGTTGCTTAATTAGCTGCTATTTGGAAAAAAAAAAGTGATTTAGATAATTACAGATATGGGAAATGTTTTTTTTTGTGATATGGGAAATATGTTTTCCATTAAGATATTATTGTGTTTGTTTTGTTAGCAGAGAGTTTACCCTTGACTTCCCACTGCTACTGTAGTTGTTCCCTAGGAGGCAGTGTAGTATTAGGTGATAACAAGAATATCAGTTTGTAATAAGCAGAAATGCAAGATAAATAAAATACCTGGTTTGGATATTTTCATCACTCCCTCACCCAAAACCCAACAGGTCTGTAGTAGTTGAAGAACTAAATATGCTTGTCTGTTTTGCTTCTGTCATGGGGCAAATTCCCATAGCCCGTCAGAGGGATTGGAAGTCTGCTATTTCTTTACAAGGCTTGGGGAAGAGCCATGGCTTAAGAAACAGTTAAAACAGGGGCATGGCTTTGTAGCCCTTTAATCCCTGGTTATCTGAAGTGCTTCTTCAGCTATTTAAGCTCTTCTCACACTAGACAAGTTCCTGCTAACCTCAAGAACTGTGAAGCAGTCTGTATGGTCTGCTCTGTGGCAGTCTTCTCAATCTCTGGAGTTGCTCACTGCAAACAACTGATTTCATACATTATAATGTATAGGAATCCATGCAGATAACAGATGATGTTCCTTAGTGCCAGAGGTATTCCTTCCTTGCCTTGTTACATTGTCAGCAAATTGCTGACCTGATAAACTTTAATATCAGAAGAGAATAAAAATACAGGTATTTCCAAAATAAAGTTATTTCTAAATCATAAAGTTTTTTAGTCTGTGGCATTTGTGGAGAGCATTGACTTGAGGTAGTGTGAGCAACTCACAGGTAGTTCAGGTATATACGTGGGTTTGTGTGGGACAGGGTATGTCAGGACGAGATGTGCAGACTAAAAACAGATCAAGTCAGTACCTGAAAGAAACAGGAGGGTTCTTTATCTACATGAGGAGTATGTGAAGAACGAATGGCCACGGGAGCCTGGGCTCATGTCTTTGGTCTTGAGTGCTTTTAGCACCATACAGCAGCAACACGTACTGGTTCTCAGAGTTCAAGAGTAAATTCAAGTGGTTCCTGTCTTAGGTTTTTCCATGTGCTTAGTTGTCATCACAAAATAACTGTTGTCTTTACAGAACTGAATACTTATGCATTTTTCTTTTGAGTTTGTAGATATTTTCTTTGTTGTGAAAATGCATGCTACTGAGCTGTCTTTATGTAATCGGATGTAATACCAGCAGTATGCATTATTGAATTGGAAATAGAATTTAATTTAGTCCAACTTTTCTTAGCCAGGGGAAAAGTATTTAAAGGCAACTTTTGCAATACCTTCTCAGCACTATTTTGCTTACAAATGATCCGTGTTATTTTAGACAAAGGTATTTGAAGGAAATTGTACTCATTATGGCCATAGTTCAGGAAAGAATGAGCAGTTGTGTAAAGATTTCCCATGTCACTGAATGGTTTTCAGGCTATTCTGCTGATAAAACTGCTCTCTCCACAGAGACTTCATGAATTGAACCAGGAGACAAAATATTTCTAGCAGATTTGCTTTTTCATAAATACAAGGAGGAATGCTATTTCTGTCTATTGATCTGGAAAAATCATGTGGGATTTTTTGTCTCTCTGTAATTCAGCAAGCTATAGTTTATTCTCGTTTTATATGCAGTTAGTTTGTTAGTCTTTGCCTTCCTACTTTTCGAGTTCTTAGAGGAGGAAAACTGCATGCCTCAGATTTCCACTTGGCTCCTGCAAGCTTCGGGTGCTAGGGGAGAGCTGTATGAAGAATAGTGTTGCTTCAAGTGATTATTGACTTCTGCTGTAATTGCTCCACATATTTGACTCAAGATAACTGTACTTGCAGATTAGTATTTTCCTTTTCAAAAGTTCAGTGAAGTGTCCTGAGAAATTAGTAATTTACTTCTGGAAGCCTTTTTTTTTTTTTTTTTTTTTGTTATTCTGGATCTCTCCATTTAGCTCAGGAGTGCACAGTGAACCACATGTGCAAATCAGAATATTGGCATATCTGCATACTTGGTTTGCATCTGAAGTTTTGTAGGTGAAGGTGCAAGTCACTGTGAACTGTAGTCATTCTGAGCTACTGGTTCAGTTACTGGTGCTTAGAGTGGACACAATGAACTCTCATCTGTTGTTCTTAAATGAAATGCTAATGGTATGGTTTTTTTTTTTAAAGAAAATTGTGAAAAGGAAGAAATTTTTTGCATTTCCCATTAATTTACAAGCTAGATCTGCTGTCAAGACAAGGGGTTGAAATCTGGTGTCTTATGTAAAGAATAATTGCAGAATCGTTTGATTATAAAAGCCATGAGAGGTAATGGTAGATATATATTGCCTATTAATTTAGTATGTGAAATGATAACATTCATTTTAATGATCTTGGACTAGTAATACATGAATAAAATACCAGTAGAAACAAAGATAATTACAGTTTCTAGGAGTGTAGTAGTGAAAAGTTGTGCAACATTTTGTAATTACTTTTATGTCCTGCTCTCATTGTTTCTGGTAGGGAAAACATCTGGCTGAAATGACCATTTCACTTTTGCCTTTTTTAGGCTGATGAGCAAGCCATGCTAGAAGATACACTGGTTGCACTGTTTGACTTGGAAAAAGTTACTTTTTATTTCAGACAGTCAGAGCCAGAACCCCTAGTTGCAAGTGAGTACCTATAATTAATATCTGGTCTTTATAGTTCAGAAACATTTTCTGTATTTGTAACATTTTACTCTTGGAACATTACCTTCCCACAGGGAATATTATGTGATTTGGGATTATGGAGAATTAGTAAATCTGTAGTGCTCCTAATATTCCTAAATGTCCTGAAATACAACTAACATCAGTGACAATGCAGAATCAATATCTGGTAATGTCAGTGACCTTGGGGGTCAAAACTGTTTGCTTAACTGAATTTCCCATTTGGGAGTATGTGACTGCATCAGGAAAGTCCCTGGAAGATCTAGTTGTTATTGAAGAGTTATGTGCAAAATAAGCTTGAAGGTCTTAAAAGAGAAGTGCCATTAAGCTGATGCGGAGAAGCGTAAAAACCATTTTGTTTTCTCATCTGAAAGACAAAGTAGATCTTGGAAGAGTTCCGTGAAAGGAGATGGCAAACAGCATTAGCATAGCTTTGAATTATGCAAGTAACTTCCTCTTGGAAAACATGGTGGTGCAGACGATCAGGGTCCTGAACCCTGTCTCACAATGTTTGTGCAGCTCACAGGAAGTGTGTCTTTGCATTCTTCTGTTTATATCCTTCACTTGTTTTCTGCCACTCCTTTATTAATATGTTTTCAGCCAGTAGAGATTTTCCTGCAGTGAACTTTTGTTTAGTGAGCAGAAAGCCCTCATTTTTCCCTGAGTCTTGTAACTCCCCTGGGAAGGGAGGAAAGCATGTCTGCTTCACATCAAGCTTTTCCAAAGCAATTCCCTTGCCGCATTGAGACCACACATGAGAGAACTTCTGCAGTAACCAAAACCAGAACACACGAAGCTCCTCCACAGGGCTGCCTGTGCTCTAAGGAATTCAGTAGTGCAGAGCTGGTAGTCAGGTTGGAATTAGCGTATACAGGACCATATATATTTCTGTATAATTCAAGTAAGAACCATGTGTTTGTTTTCAAAAGAAACCCTGCCAAGCCAGGTAATAGAATGGAACCAGAGTTATAGGGCCTCTTGATGGGGATTTAACCCTATGCCTATGTTATGAACTATTCCTATTGCTAAATCTTCCAACTGAGGTGTCTGTGCTAAAACAGAGATAAATGAAAGTCTGTGTGTTCTAGGATTGTGATAAATCCCGTCTTTCCTTTTTATTTGTTTCCTTATTTGGTTTATTAATCCTGACTGTGGTTACATAAGACTAGGAACCGGTAAATTAGGTTTTTTTTCCCATTAATGATTCTGCATAATCAATAAAATAAAGTCTTATTAGAAAAAATTGTGAGAAATCTGGGTGGGTTTTTTTTTTTTAATCTTTTCCTTTTAGGTATAAGATAACTTATGCACACAGTGTAAAAACTTCATAACAATTTTATTAACACAAATCACTAAATTTTATTGTTACTGCTTTCAGCTTGGAGACCTATGAATGGAAACTTAAACAGGAAATATATACAAAGCTTAAATTGAAATAAACTGACTTCCTCTAAGAGATTCAGCTAAATGGAAAATTTTCATCAGCTTATGCTAAAGCTCATCACATGTTAGTCATCTTGCATAATACACTTAATGTATGCTGGGGAATAACTGTAACAGCAAAATGATTCCTTTAGTTGCCCTAAACTCTACACCAGTTGGTGTGTTATGACATTTAGCTTGTCAAAGTGTAGTGAAATATGCTCTTCCAATTTTATCTATTCTACCATAACACATTGGTTTTCTTAGTTGAGTCTTGATTTTTAATAATAATTTAATGAATATGCTGTTAGCTACTGTATATTTACTTGTGGCCTGTTCAACACAAGTCAGGAAAATCTGACTGTATATCAAACTATCATGCACCAGAGGAAGACTTGTGAAATATGGATAAAGGTACCCTTGCAGTGATTTTAAACTGTGTGCATAGATGTTTCTTCAGAATTACAGGGAATACAAGTAGCATGTTGCCAACAACATTACTTTCTTAGTACTTTTGCTGTCATTGACAGGCTGGCAAAGATGACAGTCGCTGCTTTTCTGTTTATCTACTTTCTGATAATGGGTAGGCCAGAAGTGACCACAGCAACACTGAGGATAGTGTAAAATACATCACCTACTAGTTTTGCGTCTGCAGTGATTTTTATCTAACAGCTTCTGGAAAAGGATGTGTCATTGCTTTTAATGAAATAGTAACACTGATTGTATTCTTAGATGTACCGATTACATACCAAGCAGAAGGAAACCGGCAGACCCTGAAGGTCTACTTCTACCTTGATAGTTACCATTTTGAACAGCTTCCTCAAAGGCTGAAGAATGGAGGGGGATTTAAAATCCACCCAGTACTTTTTTCACAAGGTAATTTGAGTTTTAATCCTCCCAGTTCTTTCACATAATATTTAATGCTCTTTAAAACTCTACTTAATCACTCTGATTTAAATTCTTTGTAACTATAAGGGTACAATGCTTATATTTAAATATGTTTTTTAATGTGGGCATTTACTGAGAACTTTGAATTAAAATATGAATTTGCTGAGATTTGTGATTAAAAAATAAAGGCAGGTGTATACATTTATCAGTTTATGCCTGTTATACGCTTCCAACACCAGAGTATGACTCTTCTTTCATCAATATTGTTTTTTCTTTGTAGACATTAGTGGGCAATATTTAGACCATGAAACTTGCTTTTAAAACTGTTTTGCATTCCAAATGCTATCATGAACTTTTCCTGTTACTTCAAATTTAAGGACTAAATTGTTATCCGGTGAGATTTTTGTCTCTTTAGAATGTTATGAAGACTTCAGTAATATTTTCAGGTTTTTGTAGTTATGACTGCAGATGTTACTGAAATGTTAAATGGTGGTGTGGATGCTCAGAGTTCATAAGTTGCGGTCAGCTTGCATTAGCTGCAGTGTCATTGTAGTCATCAGGAGCATGGAGTTTGATTCACTGAAATCGTGAATGCGAAGTGCTGACTGCCTTGACCTGCCTTTGATTTTGGAAGGAGCTGAAGGTACTTCAGACCTTACTTCCTGGGTCTGTGTGGAACAGGGAGAAGTCAGCATACAAATTAAGGTTTTGAGGAGGGTTTAGTCTCTGACAGACAAGGAGGATGTAGAAGGAAATAGCAAACAGTAAAATACACAAAGAAGAAATAGCCAAACTTACTGTAAACTCAAGCATATGGTTCGTTAAAAGTAAGACCCATGGAGTCTGTTTTTTTTTTAACAAAGTAATGTAAAGTCCGACTTCAGTTGATTTCTTTTGAGCAGATTGTTTTCAGTCATAGTGGGAAATTAGAATACAGAGCAGGAGACACCTTTCAGTAAAGGAGACAAAAAGGCTCATGAAAAAGAACAGAAAATAACCTTGGTTCAGATGAAATCCTGGAAACATTATTTTATTTTTTTTTTTTAGATTTGGGAGGGAATGCAGCATGCTACAGAATTGATTTTGCAGATTATTTTCCTTTTCTGTTTCCAGAAGCCCCAGATATTTGAGTCTTAGGATAAACATCTTTGTAGTCAGCTAAAGGAAAAGAGCAAAGATTCTTTCAGATGTTATATCTGCTTAATAATTTTCAGTGATACAGAATATTTTTTCTTTCTTCCTCAAACAAAATGTTTTTGAGTTTCAACGATCCCCCTCCAAAATGTCCATTATACTCCAAGAATAAGAAATCCTGGATAAGAAGAAATCCTGGATAAGCGATGGGTTGTAGTAGTAGGGGACTCTACACTGAAAAGGACAGAAGCACTTGTCTGGCATCCAGACCCCATCTCAAGGGAGGTATGCTGCCTACCAGGGTCACGGATCAGGGATGTGGCAGAGAGGCTGCCTGCTCTAGTAAGTCCCACGGACTATTACCCACTCCTGGTGATACATGTGGGTGCTAGGGATAGTAGTAGCCTGGGGAACATAAAGAAGGACTACAGAGCCCTGGGGGAGGTGGTTAGGGGCTCTGGAGCTCAGATGTCTTTTCATCAATTCTCCAGGATACAGGGGAGGACCTCAAAAAAGCTAGGAGGATTGGCCAGGTTAATAACTGGTTAAAAGGGTGGTGTCATAGTCAGGGGTTTGGGTGTCTTGAACACGGGACCCAAGTTTGTAGGCCAGGTCTAGTGGAGGCTGGTGGAGCTGGTCTGATAAAGAAGGGAAAGAGCAGTTTTGGTAGGAGGCTTGCCAGACTGGTCAAGGAGGCTTTAAACTAGATGTGTTGGGGGAGGGGGGCATCATTCCATCCCAACACACCCAGTCAGTTGCCAGAACCTATAATAAAGCTCGGAGCAATGTAGAGATATTGCAGCTGCTCCAGCCAGTGAGCTGGCTTCAGCTGGAGCTTGGCTCAGATGCCTCTATACAAATGCCCGTAGCATGGGGAACAAACAAGAGGAATTAGAGATGTGTGCACGTCTACAGGGGTATGATATAACAGGCATCACAGAAACATGGTGGGATGGCTCCTGTGACTGGAGTGTTGGAATGGAAGGTTACAGGCTCTTTAGAAAAGACAGGCCTGGCAGGCGGGGAGGGGGAGTTGCCCTTTATGTTAGGGATAGGCTGGAGAGTATGGAACTCTGTCTGGGGACAGGTGAGCAGTTAACAGAGAGTTTGTGGGTCAGGGTTAAAGGGAGAACAGCTATGGGAGACATTACTGTGGGGGTCTGTACAGACCACCTGATCAAGGAGAACCTGTGGATGAAGCACTCTACAGACAGATAGGAAAAGCCTCACGCTCACAGGCCCTTGTTCTCATGGGTGACTTCAACCACCCTGACATCTGTTGGAACAACAGTACGGCCCGGCACAACCAATCCAGGAGGTTCCTTGATTGTGTAGAAAACAACTCCTTCTGCAAGTAATAGAGGAACCGACAAGGAGAGGTGCCATGCTTGACCTCGTGCTCACCAACAGGGAAGGGCTGGTTGGAAATGTGACACTCCAGGGCAGCCTTGGATGCAGCAATCATGAGATGCTCAAATTTGAGATCCTCAGGACAGTGAGAAGAGCGTGCAGCAAGCTCACTGCCCTGGACATCAAAAGAGCAGACTTTGGCCTCTTCAGGAACCTGCTTCGGAAGGTTCCATGGGATACAGCCCTAGAGGGCAGGGGGGCCCAAGACTCTTGGTTGATATTCAAGGATCACCTGCTACAAGCTCAGGAGTGTTGCATCCCAACCGGAAGGAAGCGCAGGAGGAGGGCCAGGAGACCTCCTTGGATGGATAAGGAGCTGCTGAGGAAAATTCAAATGAAAAAAGAGGCTTATAAAAAGTGGAAGCAAGGACAGGTGGCATGGGAAGAGTACAGGGATGTTGTCTGGGAAGCTAGGGACCAGGTTAGGAAAGCTAAGGCCCAGTTAGAATTAAAGTTAGCTAGAGGTATTAAAGATAACAGGAAGGGATTCTACAAGTACATAGCAAATGAAAGACAAGGGAGAATGTAGGCCCCCTCAGGAAGCTCTCAGGAGAACTGGCTACACAGGATTTGGAGAAGGCTGAGGTTCTGAGTGACTTCTTTGCCTCGGTCTTCACTGGCAAAGGCTCTGACCACACCACCCAAGTATTGGAAGGCAGATGCAGGGACTGTGAGAATGAAGACCTTGGGCCCACTGTAGGAGAGGAACTGGTTCGAGACCATCTTAAAAATCTGAATGTGTACAAGTCCGTGGGTCCTGATGAGATCCATCTGCGGGTCCTGAAGGAGCTGGTGAATGAAGTTGCGAAGCCACTGGCCATCATATTTGAAAAATCATGGCAGTCAGGTGAAGTTCCCTATGACTGGAAAAAGGGAAATATAACCCCCATTTTCAAGAAGGGGAAAATGGATGACCCAGGGAATTACAGACCAGTCAGTCTCACCTCTGTGCCTGGCAAAATCTTGGAGCAGATTCTCCTGGAAGGCATGCTAAGGCACATGAAAAACAACAAGGTGCTTGGTGACAGCCAGCATGGCTTCACTAAGGGGAAATCCTGCCTGACCAATTTGGTGGGCTTCTATGATGGGGCTACAGAACTGATGGACAGGGGTAGAGCAGTTGATGTCATCTACCTGGACTTGTGTAAAGCGTTCGACACTCTCCACATGACATCCTTGTCTCTAAATTGGAGCGACATTAATTTGATGGATGGACCACTCAGTGGATAAAGAACTGACTGGATGGCCACATGCAAAGAGTTGTGGTCAATGGCTCAATGTCCGGCTGGAGACCAGTAGCGAGTGGTGTCCCTCAGGGATCGGTGTTGGGACCAGTCTTGTTCTACATCCTTGTTGGTGACATGGACAGTGGGATTGAGTGTGCCCTCAGCAAGTTTGCTGATGACACCAAGCTGTGTGGTTCGGTTGATACCCTGGAGGGAAGGAATGCCATCCAGAGGGACCCTGACACGCTTGTGAGGTGGGCTGATGCCAACTTCATGAAGTTTAACCATGCCAAGTGCAAGGTCCTACACCTGGGTGGGAGCAATCCCAAGCACAGCTACAGGTTGGGCAGAGAAGAGATTCAGAGCAGCCCTGTGGAGAAGGACATGGGGGTGTTGGTTGATGAGAAACTTAACGTGAGCCGGCAGTGTGCACTCACAGCCCAGAAAGCCAACCATATCCTGGGCTGCATCAAAAGGAGCGTGACCAGCAGCTCAAAGGAGGTGATCCTGCCCCTCTGCTCTGCTCATGTGAGACCTCATTTGGAGTACTGTGTGCAGTTCTGGTGTCCTCAACATAAAAAGGACATGGAACTGTTGGAACAAGTCCAGAGCAGGGCCACGAGGATGATCAGGGGACTGGAGCACCTCCTGTATGAAGACAGGCTGAGAAGGTTGGGGCTGTTCAGCCTGGAGAAGAGAAGGCTGCATGGAGACCTCATAGCAACCTTCCAGTATCTGAAGGGGGCCTATAGGGATGCTGGAGAGGGACTCTTCATTAGAGACTGTAGTGATAGGACAAGTGGTAACGGGTTAAAACTTAAACAGGTGAAGTTTAGATGGGCTATAAGGAGGAAATTCTTTCCTGTTAGGGTGGTGAGGCACTGGAATGGGTTTCCCAGGGAGGCTGTGAATGCCCCATCCCTGGCAGTGTTCAAGACCAGGCTGGATGAGGCCTTGGGTGATATGATTTAGCGTAAGGTGTCCCTGCCCATGGCAGGGGGGTTGGAACTAGATGATCTTAAGATCCTTTCCAACCCTAACTATTTTATGATTCTAAATCCTAGTGTTTAATCAGGATTCTATTTTTTACTTCTTTTCTGTGAGGCTGAGCTGCCATCGAACTAAGATCCCCATCTTTGACTGAAATTTATTAGCAACAAATGTAGAAATCTGTAAATTTCTCTGTGAAGTGAATTCTTGCTTCCTAGACTTAACAGAGCTAAGCTGTTTCCTGCCTAAAAAACAGTGGTTAGTGATATTTTCAAATGGAGTGTTTTGAAAATCATGTTTTTGGAATGCATTATCCAAGAGACACGTCAGTGAACATCAGTCTGTTTCTCTCTGTGTTACTTTATTTTGTGTTGCATAGCTCCATGCCTAAAATTACAACTCTATATGTTTGTAGGAATGACAGTGCAGACATTTTAAGTTTTAAAATGTTGACCCAGGCCTAAAATTACATATCCATCTACTTGTAAAAAATATTTTGTACAACAGTATGCTTAAGTGTATGCATTCAAAAGGGTCCTGATTTGTAGGCCTCAACATATTCCAAGTATGTTGAGATACCGCTCTTGGTGCTCAGATTTCTCTATTTCCTACATTAGCATTGAGATCTCATCAATAAATAAGCTTAATTAAAAGCCATTAACAATAAAATTTAATTTAATTTAAATTGCTACTTAGTCTCTTAATAATGTTAGGGTTTTAATTTTTTAAATTTTTCACAGTATACTAGAATAATTCAGACTGGAAGGGACCTCTAGAGGCCTCTAATCCAGGCTCACATCCCTCAGCCTCTCCTCACAGAGTGTGTGCTCCAGCCCATGACCATCTTGATGACCTCTGCTCAACAAGTTGCTTCAGTTGATCAACACCTTTTGTATACTATGGAACCCAATACTAGACACAGTATTTAAGGTGCTATCTAATGAGCTCATTTAAGTAAAGTGAGGACGAGCACTTCTTTCAGTCTACTGGCCATGCTTACATCAATACAATTTAGGATGGTCTGGGCCTTCTTGGTTGCCAGCTTGGTTGCAACACTGCAGGCTGATGTTCAATTTGCTGTCTAACTACTCTTTGAACCTACCCATCCTTCCAGTTTTTTTTTCCCCATTCAGTTGCCTGTGCATTCAGACCATAATATCCTAACTCGGATTCAAGAATACCACAAAAGACATGTTTGTCTAATATATTAGGTAGAAGAACGTTAAACCCTTCAAAAGAGGAGAGCCAAAGCTCTCACTGCCAACGCCTGTGAACATGACCCCTGCTGTGCCTGCAAATGCAGAACTGTGTGCTCCAGCCAGTCCCAACAGATGGCTGAGTTTCCTGGTTGGGTAATCTTATTGGATGAAACCAACTGTATGCCAGTAAAATAAGCACTATGGTTTATCAAGTTAGTTTGCACTAAGATGCTATTACAAATGGAGTTCAGTGGATATATTTGTATGGGCTTTCTGGTGTGTGACTTAGCCCCAAGGAAGTTAAGAAGCAAGTCTCACTGTTGAAATTGAATATTTTTTGCACAAAAGTAGAATTACAAACTCCAAAAATACATAAGGGGAGTGCAACTCAATTTGCATGTTCTTTTCCAATGAATGAATTATTTATTAACTGGTCATATTAAGCAGTACAAGCAGAATTAATATTCTTTGTGCAGCTCAAGCTGTAAGACAGCAGCATGTTTCCATCAGATCTCTGCTTATTGCTTGCATTTTCTGATAGGGTGATGACTTCTTAGAATGTGTATGGATTATTAAAGTAGCAATATTCCTAATTGTAAAATCTTTAATGCTTCTCCCTAAAAAATGATTTTACCAGGAGCCTGTGTTTTATGTTATAATAACCTCTTAATGTGAAGATGTTGATTTTTCCAGTCCAGAGTTTCTTGAAAACATTTCAAATGCCTGATTTGACTTAGCTAAAGAAAAGGTTAAACTTCCCTGAGTATGTAAAGTAAAGGGGCTGGGGGAATGTGTTTTTTTGTTTGTTTTTTTTTGTTTGTTTGTTTTTGTGTTTTTGTGTTTTAAAACTGTTGCTGGGAAGAGCATCCCAAAATGGAATTTCTTCCATAGTGCATTTATTTCTTCCTTCTTTTAATTTCTGTGCAATGACTGTATGAGAAGGACATACAGTCCTTCCTTTAATGGAAGTCTTTGTTTAGTTCCTGAATTCTTGTAGCAATATTCATCCTCGCTTTAGTGCAGTGAATATCACTAAGGTGGACATAGTTTAGTATTTGACTTTAGAAAGTTACCTGATTCCTGAGAAATGAGCTTGTAGGGCATTTTTGGAGATCCAGAGAAGTTTGATTTGACAGAGAAGTTTGATTTGACATTATCAGTGGAATAACTAGAGGTTGAGGTGCTCCACATCTCCTCACATCAAGCTGCATAAGAAGTTGTTAGGTGAAAGGTTACTCTGAAGAAGTCATTAGGTGAAAGTTTAGGTTACTCTGTGAAAGTAGCTGGTATATTGATCTTTTATTTCCTTTACCCCAGCTCATTCTACTGTTTTCTCACAGGATGTATTAGAACTAGAACTCACATTCACATTCACAGGGCAGGAGTACTTTTATTAGAGCAATGGAACCCAAGCTAGTGCTCTCCTTTCTGTTTTCCACAGGGCAAGAAATACATTTTTTCTTGCAAATGGAATCTTAAAGAGAGTGCTGTATGAATCTGACAATGTTCGTATCTCAACTCAGCTACCCACAGTGGGGTCACAGCCTCAAGGTTAAAAAGTAATTCAGTAGTGTGTGAACAAAGCTACACAGAAGGTGAATGCTAAATATTTAATACTGCTTTTTCTCTTCTCCATTCTCCTTTCCCTTTTCCCAGCACTGGAGAGCATGGAAGGATATTATTACAGAGACAGTGTCTCAGTAGAAGAATTTCAAGCTCAGATTAATGCAGCCTCACTAGAAAAAGTCAAGCAGTACAACCAGAAACTACGGTGGGTAATAAACCAACATTCCTGAGATTAGTTTACCATAATCTGCTTTTCAGCTCAGTTTCTATGAAACATCTTTAAACTGAAGTGCATTGCATGGTGGTTGTTTTTTGGTGCATGATTGAATAAGATCCAAGATTCATGGTTCCGACTTTTTTGATTTCTTCACTGGTAAGTTACTTTTAAAGAATAGCTTTACCATGAAAGTTATAGCTGTAAATGCCTCCAGGTTGTTGTACATCACAAATGGAGTATTAAAATTGCTAAACATTACAGAATACCATATTTACCCAACATCTACAGACTGGGATTTAGAAAATAGTCTTGTTTTTCTCAAAGCTGAGCGTCTTCCTCCCCACTTGCCACCAGACTAATGGGAACATAAACATATTTGGATACTCGCATCACATGTGGATATGGGTTACAGAGTTCATTCTTGCCAATGTATATAAAGATTATGAAGCTCTGTATTTCAGTAAATATTTCATTAAGAAGTTGCACATAAAGACAGAATTCTAGTATACAAAGTAATCAATTACTTATGAAGTGAAATAATGAAGGGGTGTACATAGACTGCTCTTGCATCTCACTGTATTTGTGAAAAACATCAGAGTACACTTATTTGCATGTGAATTGAAGAAAAAGAGTGTAAAGGAGTGCAGCAAAATAATTTTTAAAATTCTTGAATAGATGGAAACACTATGATTTAACTAGAATGGTTAGGTCGCTTTCAAAAGCAGCAGAGAACAGGAGTTAAATGAGAAAAAGAGGCTAAGGACAGTAGAGAAAGAGAAGGAGAATGACTGTCTTTTTCCAGTTCCTTAACCTGTTGGCCCACTGACTCCTGGTTTTGGAAGATTTTCTTCATGGATCTTGGAAAAGTATTTCTCTAATATGTTATCAGTGCAGTGGACTCCCTGGATTCTGTTTTAATCTAAGCAGTACTATAGCAAAAGTGATTCTAAAGCCATTTGTATTCAGTGAGTAAAATGTATTTCATTTTTTGTGACATCTGTCAGTGCACTTCTATGTTAATGACAAAGGCAGTATTTAGTCTGTTTCCCATATTGTATTAGTACTTCCTATTTGGGGAAAAAAAGTTCATCCTGAGTATTAATTTTAGAAGGCTTATGTTATAAATCAGTTTTACAGAAAGCTTTGGTCATGTCAGTATTTGGTTTAGATGAATTCAGCTAGTGTTGGAAAGAAATTTCTATCAGTTGGGCAAGGAAAATCTTTTATGCTGGTTTTTCTATGAATAGGCCCAGTTTAGTCACCATGAAAATCCTTAAAAGGAGTTCTTCTTGACTTTATGCTCTAGTGTTCCCTGACCTTGCTTACCTTGTGCATTAGGATCTCCATTCATGCTGTGGCTCTAATGAGGCACATTCCTCATATGGTGGTGTGACTCACAGCTCTGATTAGTTGGTAACCTCCAAGACCTAGTTTTGTGGAAAGCTACTATGAAAAGGTTAGCAGTCAACAAAAATTACCATGGATAACTCTGTCCAGTCACAAGAACAGGAAAACTCTGGAATTTTTTTTTCCAGCCATCTAATGTCTGGTGAGAACATTCAGTAATTGATTTCTTAATTGTTTTTGTTTGCGTTGCGGTGAACTCTACCCATTTCTTAAATGAGGCACAAACAGCTTCAGAAATTCAGTGACATAGTGTGAAGAGAAAAAACAGAAAAGCAGATGCTTCGTTCTTGTTCTGCCATTTAGCCTGTGTAGGTGTTTGGCCAGGAGAATCTAATAAAGTAACTACAGCAGCAAAAGATATTAACATTTAGATAATTGCTCTAAAGAAGAACAAAAAAGGAAATTGAATATTCCCTGGAAACATACTCAATGCAATAATGCTATCTTAAACACTTCACCTGGAAGAAATCCTCCTCAGAACCACCTAATCAGTAATAAAGTAAGTCATTTAAGACACAACTCATAACCCATTTTTTCTCAATAGAAAAGGAATGCATTGCTTGCTTCTTAAATGACAACCTAATGACCATCTGACAATCCTTCCATTGCTACAGCAGCGGAAAGCAAATGGGAGCAGCAGCAAAGGAAAAAGTAGTAGGAAAAGAGGATGGGGACTAGTGGGAATGAAATGATTGGCTGGCACTGACACTGCAGCCAAGCCATCTGTTGCTAAGAACTCTTGATACAAGTTCATCTTCTCTTATTCCTAATGCATTTAGATAATAATGCTCTAATAAATAAAATATGAAACAGGTGAGACCACTTTGTGCAGGGTCCTGCTTACAGAGATGTTGGCCTAAATTGGGATGTGCCCGAGCAAAATAGTAAAATTAAAAATGAGTAATATCTTTGCTCAGCTACCTCTTAATTTCTTGTGGGAAAGTCTTATTAAAGTCTGAGTATATAGATAGTTTTTGAGGTATGTGGTCTTTTGGGTGACAGATCGGATACTGATGTGTGCCTTAAAAGAATCCATTTACAAATAATTTATTTGAATGAATCAAAAGATGTATTAGTAAGTTTTTAGTGCATTTCAGGAAGGATAACTTTTATCCATCATATAAAGTCAAGAAGACAAATCCTTGCTTTTATTGCAAAATTCTTTCATAACTGTGGAACTGTGAACAGATTTTCCACAGTATCAGAAATGATACAATAAATCCAGGTGCAGAATTGTCCTCCTTGACATTGATTTGAGCATCATAAGAGCTTCTGTCTTTCATGGTTCTTGCTTTGGGGCTTTTGAAATACTACCTCAACTATGAAACAGTAATGATAAGATCATCAGTTTTATAAGAATGCATGCAAGACAGTTGAAAATCAGTTACAGAATTTCATGCTTATGTGGAATGGAAAATGTCCCTTCATCTTCTGTAATAAGCTTAACCCTAACTATTTCAGACTAGTTTATAATGTAGGGGAACTTTTATTCTAAGGCCAGCCAAAGTTTTCTCTACAATTTTTTTTTTGTTGTTTGTTTTGCTACAAATTTTTTTTGCTACAATTCCTGAGTCAACATCCCCTACCCCACATAGGAAGTCCTTTATCGGAATGAAGATGCTATTTAAAAAAACAGACAGCAAAAACTAAACAAACCCAAAACCAAAACCCCAATATATAGCTTATAAAAGTTCTGAAACTGCTGGGAAATCTCCAGCATCTGGCCCACAATTACTCTTAATCATGCTGGATTTCTTTCTCACAGTTCGCCAGGTTTCACTTATTTTTATAATTCACCAATTCTGTTTCCCTGACACTGACAGGGAAAAGAAAAATGCTCCAATTCTGTTCACAAGTTGACCTGGTGCCAGTAGTTGCCAGCAGTGTGAATTTAACCTCATCAAATTGTTTGCTAATGAGAAACGTGCAGTACAACCAGGTGAAAGTAATTAGGTCAGCAAAGATTTTGAAGATCTTTATTACTATGTGTTTGATAGCTCAGCAGTTTTCTTCTAATTTAGAAGAGGACCAGAAGGAGCTTGTATATCTGACTTGCACAGAGGCTGATGTTAATTGAGGCCATTTTGTATTTTCTTTCTTCCTCACGCTTTTCTCCATCTTCCTTCTTTGGTGCTCTTTGCCATTCAAACAGGCTTTTTCCATCCTGAATCAGTCCTTTTGCTTTTACAGACACCAGAGACCGTTTTGCTTCATCAGTGCAGGACAAAATGGTTTTTAGATCTGTAACTACTACAAATGCTGATAGGAATAGTAAAGACACACAAATGCACTATATTTACTTGAACTGCTTGAGTGGTTTAAGTATTCTCTTGCAAATCTTGAGTCATCTATGTAATTGTAGAAACATGAGAATGAACTTGAATTGTAATTTTTGCAGCATCAGTTCTTTAAGAATGACTTAGTTAAAATACATTATGTCTTTTGGATATGATTTTTATATTTGGTAAAGGTTTCTTCCCTGCAGAGTGACATTCAGTATGGTAGTTATTACACTGCATAGAAATAAATCTTCCCGACATTACTGCAACCAAAGTTTTGGTTCCAATGTAGCCAGCTGGAAGCTCGGACAGACCCTGACAAGCAGGTTAGCTGAATGGCCATAACTCAGCAAATCCTTGGACTGAATAGTGAGTTTAAGATAAAACAGTCGGGTATGAGGACAGTTTTTATCATCAGAGAAATCAGGTTTTGGATTAGCTTCCTGCAAGAAGTAAGCTGTTTTTTAAATGCACCTTGATGAGCGTGGGGATGAAAACTTCTGTAATGTTTGCCCAACTTATCAGAGGTTTGGACTTTCAGCCTACAGTAGTAGGGGAAGCTTGCTCTTCTAGTCTTCCTTTCTCTGTGTGTATTTGGCATTTTATCAGATTAGTCTTTTTTTCTTCTTTTGTCTGTGAATTCTCTTTCTGGGAAAATGGTGGGTACCTCCTATACATTCTATTAAAATGCAATTTTCTACAGGTATTCTTGGTTAGCTTCTTAATAAGAAAAGTTCAGGCAGATCTACTCTTTAAGAGTTTTCTTTCTGCACGTCTGTGCACAAAATGGATGTATTTCAAAGGAAGAGAGGATTGTCAGGGCACAGGTCATTCAGTGGGGTGCAGGGATGTGGCTGTACCAAGTGTGTTTCAAGGTTCTGGGCTCTGCAGTATGCTTTGCTGCACATCAGTATACCTGTTTGGATTCCAAAATCATCTATGCAGACTATTTTTAGCTGATGAGAAATTAGTGAAATCACTGGCTTTTAGATTCATAAGCATTTTTAATGCTTCTTCAGCACCTGTGCTTGCATTTAGACATCCAAACACCTTTAAAATTTGGTTTCCAGTGTTGTGGTGGCTTGGTTTGGGAATATTCAGAGGGAAATAAGCACAATAATAAATGAAGTTGAAGTTAGGAGAGCTCTGCTTTCCTACTCCTTTTCTTTCAACTGCAGCATGGTGTTTTCTTGTAAAACCTCTGACTGTATGATGACCCAGTTCTTCACTCCAAAGATAAGCTCACGCTGTGGGAAAGACAGCTGAGGATTGCTCTCCATCCCTGCCACTGGTGTGGGTGCT